GGATTCCAAATTTTGGAGAGTCTGGTTAATTGCTGCTCACCATTTCATCATCATCCCAGCCATTTTCTGGACCTTGTTTCTGAGGCTCCTGTTGTGGATTCCTTCTGGTTATGAATTGATGCTGGTTACCTGATGTATTTTTCAGTGTCAGTGGGACAGGCTGCTGATACATGGAGGCTCTTATGGGTTCTCAGATTGTATTTTCAGACCTGTGAATGCTCAGCGGAGAAAAAAAAAAAATCTTCCCAGGACTAATATGGGCAGATTTCTACAAGCCCAGTGATGGTACCGAACACTGGGTGGTGTTTATGGGTGTCTGGAATACCAGGCAGAATAGCCATTATTAACCTCTGCTTAACCAGGCAGAGGACTGGCCTATTGTGTTAGGGTCTGTGTCTAGGATTCTGGCTAAATGTAGGGTGGAAACTCTGCTGTGTGCAAGGTGCTTGGAACACCCTCGTGTACACCTTAGTTGCCCAGAGACTGCTGTTAGGAGACAGACTCTGGCAGGTCTTGGATTGGAGCAGGGCAGTGAGAACTCTGCATAGGCTCAAGTGAGCCCATCATGCTGAGTATGGACTCAAACTGGTCTAGTGTTATTTCTGTGTGCTGGATGAATGTCCCAGTTTGTTTGGGATAAACTGCATTTTCCCAGTGGTGACTCAGGTGTGCTTGAGGGTCCAATATTGAAGACTTTCAACATAGGCATTGGTTCCTTGTTTATCTGCTCAGAATATGAGAATGAATAGGCAGGTTGAGGGAGGGAGCAGCTCCCTGGTCACTTGTTCCTGGAGTGTGCTGGCAAAAAAGCCTGCCAGGCTGCAGCACCCTTTGTTTGGATAGGGGATGATGAGGCAAGGGTCCCATATACCCCAAGTCTATGCTGTGTTGCTTGACTCTGCCATGCTACTTGGATTCTTCCAGCTATTTGAGAACTTCTTGAAATGGCGGTTCTCATGTTGAGCACAGGGTGAGACCTCGCGGATAGTCCTGTCTTACTGCTTCACCTCTTTTTTTAAAGTCCTATGTGTATGTATTATTTGATCTACAAGTCTGTTCTTTTCACTTGATTTTTTTGCATCACTGTGTACATCCTTGTCCTTCTCCAAACACCTGTGTTTTTAGTTGACCTTCTTTCTGTGAGTCTTTCTGATGTGATTCCTCCTCTATTCAGGTGTGTGGGATCTTATCCTTTTTTTTTCTTTTTGGATAGTACTGCAGCTTGACCTTGGACTTCACATGTGCTAACCAAGCACTTTACCCCTGAGGTATATCTCCAGACCTTTTCTAAAATTTTATTTTGAAACAAACTCTTCTGAAATTGCTCAGGCTGGCTTTAGGTAATTCTCCTGTCTCAGTTCTCCTGAGCAGCTGAGATCATAGGTGTGTGCCACCACTCTTTGGAGGTTTTCTGTTCTTTCAAGAATCTATCTTGGTGAGTTAGGTCTATCTAGGAATTTTACTCTTCTGGGTTTTCTAGTTTGATTATGTACTGTTGTAATTATTCCTAGTTATCCTTTGTATTTTTGTGACATCAGTTGTAATGTTTCCTTTTTTGTCCCTGATTTTACTTATGTAGGTCTCCCGTATAAGTTCGAATTTTGTTGTCTTTACAAAGGAACTTGTTTGGTTTGTTGATCTTTTTTATAGCTTTTAATTTCAACCTTCTTAATTTCTGCTTTGGTATTTTATTTATTTCTACTAATTTGGGGGTGGATTTATTGTTGCTTTTTAAGTTCTTTGAGTTGTATTGTTCAATTGTTTAGTCACAAGCTTTCCTTTTTTGATATAGGCATTTATTGGTGTAAACTTCCCACTTAGTACTATTTTTGCTACATACCATAGATTTTGATATATTGTTTCCATTTTCCTTCATTTAAATAAACTTGTTGACATTCCTTTTTATTTCTTCATTGATCCATTGATTGTTTAGAAGTATGTTACACATTGAATTTCTGTGTATTTGTTGAATTTTCATAAGTCCTCTTAATGATTTCAAATTTTTCTTTTTTAGTCAGATAAGTTGCATTGTATAATTTAAATTTTTTAATTTGTTGAGCTTTACTTTGTGACCAAACCTATTCTGGAGAATGTTCCATGTACTTATGAGTATGTACATTCTGCATCTGTTGAATGAAATGTGTGTCTATTTGATCTGTAGTATAAGTTAACTGTTTCCTTACTGATTTAGACATTGATGAAAATGAGTGTTAAAGTTTCCAGATATCAGTGTGTCTTATGTATCTCTCCTTCTAGATATATTGGCTTTATTATACTTAAGTGGCTTCATATTGGGTCTTATCTATAAGTACTGTTGCTGTACTCTTTTGCTGAATTGATTCTTTTATGTCATTATGTGTAATGTCTGTGTCTTTTTGCAGTTTTGAACTGTTTTATTGGATGTGAGTAAAAAATGACTCCATTTTGTTTTTGGTTCTCATTTGTGTATAATATCTTTTTTTTTTTATTTATTTTTTTGGTACCGGGGATCAAACTCAGGCACCCTTTGAGCTTGCAAAGCAGGTGGCAAAACCACTGAGCTAAATCCCCAACACTTTAATATCTTTTTCTATCCCTTCACTTTCAGTATGTGTGTGTCTTTATTGGTGATCTGAGTCTCTTATAGGCAGCTGATAGTAGATATTACTTTTTATCCATTCACCCAGTCTGTATCTTTTAGTTGAGGAATTAATCTATTTATATTCAAGGTTGTTATCCATGGGTAATAGCCTATTTCTGTTATTTTATTTTCTTCTTGTTTTATATAGCTTTAAACTTTTTTCATCTATTCTATGACTTAATTTTGTACTTTTATATGTTTTCCTGATAGTAGTCATTCTTTTGATTCTAGATATAGCATTCCCTTATGTGTTTCTTGTAATAACAGTCTGGTGGTAATGAGTTCTCTCAGTTTTTGCTCATCTTTAATAGATTTTCTTACAGGTATCTTTGCTATATATGATATTCTTGGTGGAAAGGGTTTTTTTTTTCTTTCATCATTCTGAATATATCATTCTATGCTCTCCTGGCCTGAGAGGTTTCAGCTGAGAAACTACATTTGGTCATAGCCACAAGGCCGAGAAACAATTCAGCTGAGAAATCTGCTGTTATTCTAACCAGGATTCCATTTTATGTGAGTTAATGTTTTTCTCCTGTTACGTTTAGAATTTTTTTCTTTTAATTTTTGACAGCTTGATTATAATGTGCCTTGGAGAGGATCTCTTTTTGAGTTGAGTCCAATTGGAGTTCTGGATATACCTCTCTGTCTCAAGTCTAGGGAAATATTGAGCTATTCAGTCATTAAATATGGATTCTGTACTTTCTCTACCTCTTTTGTTTCTTAAATTTCCTTAATACAAGTATTATTTGCTTAAAGGTGCCCCATAGGCTATCTTTATTCTTATTAATTAACTCTCTTCCTCCCAAGATAATTTAAATGATTTTCAAGTTCAAGAAATGCTTCTTGATCTAATCTGTTTTATGGCTCTTATAAATTACTTTTTTATTTCATTCACTGAATTATTCAACTGTAAAATTTGTTCGATTTTTTTTAATGGTTTCTGTCTACTTCTTGAATTTCTCATTCAAGTCCCAAATTGTTTTCTGGATTTCCTTTTTTTTTTCCTTTTTCTTTTTTGGTACTGGGGATCAAACTCAGGACCTTATGCTTGAGAGGCAGAAGAGGCATCACTGAGCTAAATCCCTGGTCCTAGATTTCATTGTTTATCTGTATTCTCTTGAATCCCTCCTCTTCCTTCAGATTGTTACTTTGAATTGTTCCAGTGTTTTGTAAATTTCCTTTGCTTTCGGATCTATTACTAGACAATTATTGTGTATCCTTGGAGGTATCATCCTTTCTTGCTTTTTCATGTTTCTTGTTCCTGTACTTGAACATCTGTGCATTTATTGAGCAGTCACCTTTTAAAAAATTGATGTATCCATCCCCCCATGGGCAGATACTTTTTCCTGTGGATGAATATTAGGGTATTAGTTGAGTAAGGTATATTAGTTTTGATTTTGAGCAGAGACGATAGTATGTTTTTTGAATAGTTTCTTTGTGTAACCCTTGCCACTGATGTCTATGGATACATTAATAGCCTATGCCACTGATGGTGAACCTATGGCACCCATGCCACAGTGGGCACACAAAGCCTTCTCTGTCTGCACATGAGCCAAGTGTATGAGTTGTTTCTTCTAAACCAAAACCTCAGTCTTTGGTCTAATTGCCATGTCAGCACTTTGCAATAAATAAGTGGATTTTGGGTTATAGTTTGAGTCTCCAAAAGGTACAGCATCACTGACCTAGGCTCTTGGTGTTATAGCTACCCAGTAAGTATGGTGACATGTGAAGAAAGGTGAAGACTGAAGAATGGAGATTTGCAGTGGCTACTAACTTCTGGAGCAGGGATGCATTTTAGCTGTGGATCTGGTTGCAAAATAGCATGGAATTTGGGTAATTTTCTTGGAGAAAACTCATATCTCCTGAATATGTAGAGCTGGGGATATAGTTCAGCTTGAGTAGTTGGCTAACAGAAGAAAATGCATTCTGGAACTAAGGAGGGAAGAGTGGTTGAAGCTTTGGATATTTGTGGGGTCAGGAGGAATGAGTCTCATTGTTCTAGGTTAAATTTCAGTCAGTTCCATTAGTTGTAGAAATATGCCATGTTCTCACTTACATTTGGGCCTCTCTGGCTCAACATCTCCAAACAGTAAACCTGCAGACTTCCCACTGGATATAAAAGCACTGTCACGTGGCTATATAGCTTCAGGGAGCATCTGGGATATATGTGCTACTAGTATTTATATGATATATGCTGCCTAGTGTAACTAGAATCTAAATTGATAGCATTTAAAAATATATCGTTTATAATCGCTAAACATACAGAATAAGTGGTTCTCTTTAAAAAAAAAAAACTGCCTTGGAAGGTAACTCTGTGTAAGGGTGGCAACACATCTGTCTCCAGGCTGTTCATTTTCTTCATTTGGTTTGTCTCTTTCAGAACAAATAGGAGCTTTGGCAGACCAGCACATTATTCATGTGGCTTGTGGTGAATCCCATAGTCTGGCTCTTAGTGACCGGGGCCAGCTGTTTTCTTGGGGTGCAGGGAGTGATGGTCAACTAGGACTCATGACGACTGAGGATTCTGTGGCAGTGCCCAGGTAAGCATGTCACAGAAAGGAATCTGGGCTTCAAATGTCCATTGTTTTAAAAACTACTTCCTGCTGTTGATTTGGTAGTCTCCTTTTTCACCCTCTCTCTTTATTTTGTTACTATTTTCTTCATGCCTTGGCTGTGCTTTATACTGTGACAGCACTTGTTATAAAAATTGTAATTATTTATAGAAATATCTGTCTGTAGTTTAAAAATTTGAGAAGGTTAGGAACTGTGTTTGTTCTAGTAACCTAGTAACTGAGTTCCTGGCACTTGACAAATATTTGAATTAAAAAAGGCATCTTTTCATATCTTTGACTTAATAATATTTAGCATACTATCATGTTTTAATTACGCAGGCATGTTAAAACAGAATCAAGGCTGGGTCTGTTAATATGTCAGATTGCCTTAAACATTATTAGCTAAAATGCCACATGTATAGACTTTATCACAAACATACTGATACATTGGTTTAAGTCTCTTAAATATTTACTTAATTCTAAATCATACATGACTTAGCTAGTAGATTATTTTATCATTAAGGAAATATCTAAAATATTGAAATTCTTTTCAGATAGACTTCTGAGAGTGGCAGCACAGTTTGTTGAGGGATCTTGATGAGCCAGGAGATTATCAGTTCATTTCTTTCATATAATTTCTATTCTTTTATACTGCAAATATACCCCATATATCCCTTGTATTAGTATTTGTAACATTCTTTGTAATTGTCCTCCCTCTCTCCCTCCCCTCCCCTCCCCCCAACATGGAGCCTTTTCAACTTCTTCAAAGAAGTGGGGAAAAAAAGTAGACTCTTTATTAATGGGAGAAAACAAACTGGAGAGATAGGATCTTGCTGTGTAGTTCATACTGGCCTTGAACTCACTGGGCTGTATAGTTTAGGCTGGCCCAGGTTGGCCATGAACTTGCATAATCCTACCTCAGTGTTCTGAGTGCTGGGATTACAGGTAGGTACCACCACACCTGACTTTTTAATTTTATTTTTTAAAGACATGCCTCACATTAAATTGTCCAGGCTGGGCTTGAACTTTCAGTCCTATCCCTCTGCATCAGCCTTCTGAGTAGCTACACCACTATGTCCTCTGTAATTTTTCAGTAATGTTTATTTTTAGTTCAAAGCTGTGAGCTCTTTATGGAAGGAGAACTGGACAGATATATGCCACAGGTCCAGCTACCAGCTGTCTCGATTATTCATTTTAGCATCCTCATTACTAAGGTTGGCCCATATATTGCTCAGTACAAGTTTAACAAATTATCTCTTTTCCCCTACCTGTTATCCCCTTTAAAGGTCAGTATATTTTTCCCCCTTCCTTTTTTCTCTTCTTAAAATTTTCTCTCTTTAATCAAAAGCTGTTTTAAAGAGAAGAGGAACATGGAGGTAAGAGTGAACTGGTTCACTTCCTGATTTAAAATATATAATGTCTTATGTTCACTTTTTATAAAAATTAATTTGATTTGGGGAAAAGGGACAGTAGCAGTAAGAAAAGAAAAGTGCTATATTTTAGTTACATTGCATATAATATTAGGGAAAAATTTATAACATTAATGACAAAAGGTGTTTTCATTTGTTGGTCAAATACTGAAGACTTAATGACGTTTCTACAAATGAATTAATCTGTGTTGTAGTAACAAGTTTATTTTCATTAGCCATATCCAACTTATGAATGACTTCCAAAGCTTTGATTTGTGTTATAACTTACTTGAAGTAATTTCATTATTGATATTGTGGGAATGATACTGTGGAAAGTAACATAGTTTTAAAATCAAACAACTTTGGGCCTGACACCGGAGGCTTGCAGAGTCAAGCCTAGCCTGGACAATTTAGCAACTTAGTGAGACTTTTATCAAAATAATAAAAAAAGAGGGCTGGGATACAGTATAAAGACTTTGGATTCAGTATCCACTATTGCAAAATAAATAAAAATCATACAACTTTGGATTCTAATACTGGCACTATTACCTATATGGTGAATGACCTTGGGAAATTGCTTACTAAGGTTCAATTTTGTAATAGAAAAGTGGAACTGTATTAGGTACTTTAAGGAGTTACTAATAAGATAGAATGAAATGAGTAGGTAAAACACAGTTTGTGTTTGGACTAGTTTATTTCTTGTGGTACTCAACTTACGGGAGGGGAGAGGTTTAATTTGGCTTATGATTTCAGCACATGATGGACTGGATCCAAAGCAGAAACATCATGGCAGAAGGGCATGGTGGAGCAAAAATGCATAGTGCTTGGTAGCTGGGAAGCAGAGGAGGGAATAGTGCCAGAGACGAATGGGTGAGGAACTGGATGTAGAAACAAAGGTCCTGTCTCCATGACCCACCCAGATACACACAGAATTGTGCTTTATAATTCTCTTTTGTGGCTCACAAGCCAATCTATTTGACAGAACTGAGCTTAACTACTTACATTTCAACCCTTGTTAGCTTGACAGCCAAACATCATCTTAAACCACATTTAAGCTCCAGATAAACACAGTAGCCAGTTAATAATTCTGCATAATATATATGCAATAATCTCTGCCCCAAAGTCTATAGTTTCAGGATTTTCAAAAGTCCAAAACAAAGTCTCTTCTAAGACTCAAGGCAAACTCTTTGTCTTTGAACCTTTATAAACAAACAACAAGCAAACCTAGTTACATAATTTTAAGGTACAATGGCAGAGAGTAAACATTCCTATTCCAAAAGACAGTAACAGGAGAATAGAAAAGAATCAGACCAAAGCAAGACCAAAACCCAGCAAGGCAAACATTATATCTTCGTGTCTGGCATCTGGGGCACATGGTGATGAGGTGTGAGTTCCAGAGGGATTGGGCAGCTACATCTCCATGGGTTTGCTGGTTGCAGCATGTGAGACCTCTCTCGTGGGGTGGCTCTACTCATAGCCTGCAGCTTTCCTCAACAGATATTTTGTATATCTGACATCTATGACTTGAGTTCTCCATTACACCTTTGGCTTCATTTTCACAACTTTACCCATTGGCCTCTCGGGGGCTCCTAGCCTGGCCTCCTAAGCTTTCCTTTGAACTCGAGGTAGAAGGGTTCCTGTCACACAGTTCTTGCGTTCTTCTTGCTGATAAAACCAGTAGAGTGTTACATGAATAATGCCGTGATCTGTCACTGCCATGGGCATTATCCAGGCCTGCTTGTACCGTGGTAGCAGCAGCCCCTAAGTGCCTGGATGGCAAAGCTCAGTGAAATGACCCCCAGCGAACCAGTTCCCTAAGAGGTCCTTCTCAAAGAGGGGGCCCATTGGTTTTCTTCTTAAAGGAAAGTTTATCTTTTTGTATTCTTGAGCCTGCAGTGGGTGGGGCCTTGTTGATGTCTGAGATGCCCTCAAGGCATCTCTCTTTTTGAACCTCAATAAAGTTCTTGGTTTCTTTTTAATGACATGAATCTCTTCAGCACATGCACCACTTTGGCCTCAACTTTATACATGATTCCTTCTGAGCTAATGTGAAGTTTTTAAATTTCTGTGCTCTGAATTTTGCCTCTAATTATCATATAAATTTGACTGAAAGCAGCCAGCAGTATCTATGCCACTGTCTGAATGCTGGACTTCCCCAGATTAGTTAGTTTATAACCTAAAACTCAGCCTCCTGCAGTTTCAGGACATGGGCAAAATATAGACAAAAATTTAAAAAAAATTTTAAATTAATTTCTATCAGAATGTAACATGCCTGGCCTCTAGTCTAACAAAGAATTCTTGTTCCCAATTGAAACTACATGAACTTGGCCTATACTGTCTGCATTAATATCACTGTTCTGGCCTTCTGATCTCTGACCAGACTTGTCTGTTAATCTCTTCTTATAATATTCTAGGCCTTTTGTAGCCTGCATCTCTAAACCTTTCTAAACTCCCCCTGTAGACCAAACACTTCTGACCCATATGGTCAAGTGTAATAACAGCAGTTTCTCCATTCCTGGTACCAATTTTCTCTGTTAATCAGCTTTCTTGTTACTAAGTCATAATACTTGGCACCCACAATTTAAAGGGCAAGAGGTTTAACTTGGCTCCTGTTTTGGGGGGATTACATTACTAGTGGGCTGCTTCCAAGGTGGAAGCATCATGTAGAAGGGCATGGTAGAGCATAGATGCTTAGTTCATGGTGGTGGGGAAGCAGATCAAGGGAACACTGCAGAGAAGAAGGAGCAAGGAACCAGATACAGTATGCAAGATTATGCCACTGTGACCTACTCAGAAGAGTGTGAACTTTCGAGGAGTGCTTTACTGGTCTTCTCAATGGCTACCAGGCCAATCAAGTTGACACAGTTAAGCATAACCACTATACCACTCTACAGTAGGGGTACAATTTTCATACTATTTAATTTTTCCTTTGGACCTTTTTTCTTTTCTGTAATGGTGAATTTGAAAGTTGTAATAGTTTAAGGGAGTATAGTGGGGAAATTGATTGAAAATGGACAGGAAAAAATGCTGTTACTGCCTAGCAACTCAGATACATCGGTCCCCATGCATAATGCATTTTCCATATTTTAAAAGAATGTTGTGAAGGTATATATACACAGTGGAATATCTCTCAGTAAAGAGCAAATAAGAGAGATGATAGGAAATGGGGAGATAGACTTTGTGGAGATGGAAAGGGGATGTGGGGAAGGGAGGGAGAGGGGAAGGCAAGGAAAAGGGGAATAAAAACCATGATGTTCATACACATACTTCCACAGTCTGCCATACTAAAAAAATGTCTAGAAGCTAATGGCCACCACTTTGAGCACTTCTTGTAATTATAGAAGCCAAAGGTTTCTTAGTGTATTATTCTCAATAACTTTAGTATTAAAATATTTATACAAGTTTTTCTTTTATTTTTCTTTTTTCTTTTTTGGTACTGGGACCTTGCACTTGCGAGGCAGGCAACACCACTAAACTAAATCCCTGGCCCTTTTATTGACATATACATTTTTTTTTGAACACACACACACACACACACACACACACACACACACACACACATTTTTCCCCATTATATGTATTGTTATGGTAATATCTGGTGAATAACACAGATGCAAAATTGGGTAAAACAAACAAGCAAAAGTTTACTTTGCTAGCAGAGGGTCGGCCTGCACCAAGGGCTGTGCCACATGACCAACCCTGGCCTGGGTTACAATCTGCCTTTTATAGGAGTTTTACAATTATGACCTCATTTTAGGTAGTTCAGTAAGACATTCCAGTTCCCACAGCTCTGGTCACAAATCATGGTAACAAGACAGTCTAATTTTAACCCAAATGTAGCACCTTCTTTGTGGTTAGGATGTTTATCTTTAATTAGCTATTCTAACCCTCAAGAGTGGGGGTCAAAGGAAAATGAGACTGGTGACATTCCTTTCATTTTAAAAGGTATGGAGATTGTTTTCTTAGTTTGAACATCTGGTTTCACCCTGGGGATGCATCTGTTAATCTTATGACATTTTCAACTGGGGCTACATGCCTTCAAGCTTTGTAGTTAATGCTGAAACCTCTGGTATTGTTGTCTTAGGAAACAAGCAAAGCAACTTTCAGAAACAAATACAGCAGTTTTTCTGTTAATTCTGTTAATTTTGTAGGTTTCAGACTATTTACAGAAGTTTTCTTTATCAGTATATTCCCCAAAATTAAGATAAATATTATGTATCACAAACATACACTAAAAAATGTAAAGAATTCTATAAAGTATTGATACTAATAACAATACAAGATGATTGTCCAGGGCATTACTTGTGATTTAAAAAAAAGCCGATCTCAAAAGGTTATCTACAGAATTTTTAAATATAATATTATTAAAATAATAAATTTATAGAAACGGATAGATTAGTAGCTCTTAGAGGCTAGTGATGAGGGAGGAGAGGAGTGATTATAAAGTGTGGCTTGAAGAATTCTTAGCAATAGTGATGGTACACCCACCAATGTAAATAGATGATAGAGTTAATGCACATAGAGCTGGGGAAGTAGCATAAGACCTTGAGTTTAATCCCCAGCATTGCCAAGAAAATAAAAATTACAAATGAATACAAATACAAATGAATCCAAGTTAAACTAGGGACATATAAATAAGATTGGTGGATTGTGTTTATGTCAGCATCCTGGTTATTATTACACCAAAGCTTTGTAAAATGCTACCATTGTGGGACACTGGACAAAGTATGTAAGAGATCTATCTAAATTCTTTCGTAACAAGCATGTGTGAATCTACAGTTACTGCTAAGAAAAAAATACTCAATTTTGTTTATTCCTAAATGTGCATGTGAATCTGTTTAACTTTTTACATGAAAGAAAATATAACACTTCTACACTGGACATCTACCTTTTAAGATTCCTCTCTCCTGAGTGGGTAGCCTTAGTTTTTGTTCCTGTGGCAGAATACACTTATTAGAGAAAAACATGTAAACCTGTCAGCTAGCTGTTAAAATTAAAAGTAGGAAATATTCCTAGGCTGCTGGGTAGTGTTAAGTATGTTATATGGATTCTTCATTTAATTCTCTCCATGAGTAACCCTGTGACGTAACTGCTATGCTTATATCTTTCATTTCATCACACAGAGGAATATGAATTGAAGAAAAATTGTGGAGACATTGCTAGTATCTTGTTTTAAACTCTGGCAGTACATAACACAGAACTTACCGTCTTCAGTAGTATATGGTTCAGTAGTATTTGTTCATATTGTTGGATAAATGGTTTCCAGTCTTTTATCTTGTAAAATCCATTTTATGAACTTTACTAGGTGCATCGTTTATGTGGAATTGAGATAAGATAGACAAAATAAAAACCAGGTTAAAAAAAGAGAGAAGGAAATTGAGATTTAAAAACCATACTTAACTATACCTTCAAGACACAAAAGTAAGACTCTTTCATTTCCAGGAAACTAAAAGGTCATAAAAGATAACCTGTAAATTCATTCTCTGGACCTGTCTTTTCACCTATAAACTGTGCTTCCTCCACCTCTAAGGAGGCAGAAATACTGGTGTGCAGTGATCTTAACTTCAAACACACGTAGATGGCTTGCACTGTGACCTAACAGACTGTAAAATTACAAGTCACCCACCTTGAAAACACCCTCTTAAATATACCCAACTCTGGCTCATAACACATCTCATTTCTCTGAGCACCCACATTGCACTCTTGAGTGTATTCCTGTCTAATATACCCTTCTCATGTCTGTAACTGACATGTCCTAAAATTTCTTTTTCCACGAGGAAAGTCAGTGAACCTATAAACTTAATCCTGGTAGGGTGGGGTAGGTTTACGTTCAGCCTTCGGCACACTCAGGTCCAGCCTGCTGAAAAATCATACAGTGTTGTCTTTGTATGACTGGCGTATTTCACTTCGAATAGTGTCCTCCAGGTTTATCCTTAAAATTTATGTCAGAAGCTGCCCCTCCCGCGCTCCCACTAAGAAATGAACCCAGGGCCTTGGCGCTGAACTACAATGCCAGCCTGTTTTTATTTATTTTTGAATCAGGATCTTGCTAAATTGGACAGGCTGAGCTCACACTTCCGATCCTCCCGCCTCAGCCTCCCAGATTGTTGGGATCACAGGCATGTGCCCTGTGCCTGTTTTCTTTTTTGAGCTGATTTATATTGTATTTTATGGTACACCTTGGAGACATTGCAGATTTGGCTCTAGAGCACTGCAAAAAACAAACAAACAAAAAAACCAAAAAACCCCAAAAACAGACATCACCATAAAGTGAGTCACTTGAATTTTTTAAAAATTTGCAGAACTTAAGAAGTTATGTTTACGCTGCCCTATAGTACATTATGTCTAAAAATAGTTTATAGACCTTAATATAAAAATACTTATTGCTAAAAATGCTAATGACCATCGAGCCATTGGAAAAATAGCACTAGATAACAGGATTGTGACAGACCTTCATTTGTAAATAACTCAATAGCATAAGGCCAGGAGAGTGAAGTACAGTACCCTATCTTATTTAGCTACTCGTCATTCACAGTCATTTGGGTTTCTTCTGTCTTTTTTGGCTCTTTAAATAATGCTGCTCTGAGCATGGTTGTACAGATAACTTCTGGGTCTCTGCTTTTGCCTCTGGGATATAAACTCAGGAGAAAAATCGCTGCCTCATGAAAGCTGTTTAGACACTCTCCATATTCTTCTGAATCTCTTCTGTACTTTATTCTATTTGTCTGTGTGTACCTAGTAAAAATGTCTATTCTTTCTCTACTCTCACACTACCATCAACATAGAAAACTTCTGTGGCCCTAAAATGTATGAGGAATTTTTGCCACCAGTAAGCAAGCCATTCTGTAGCCTTCCACATCAGCCACGCATCTTCTAGTTGAGTCCCACAGTTGAGAGCACAGTTACTACGGCTGTTTCCTTCTCCAACTTCAATGGAATTCACAGCCCCAGGTTGTTTTACCTTTTGGTATTGGGGATCGAACTCAGACCCTTGCACTTGCAAGGCAGGCAGTGAGACCACTGAGCTAAATGCCCAGCTCTTACCTGTGCTTCTAAATGACCAGCTCTAAGTTAGAGTTCTCGTAACTCCCTCACTGGGTTCAATCAGTTTGCTTGAGCAACTCATCCACCTCAGGGAGACACCTTTACCATTTTCTTATATAAAATATAGATGATAGTTGCTCAAGGTAAGGAACTTTCATGCCCTCTCTGGAGCACCACCCTCCCTTGAGGCATTCAGCTATCCAGAAGCTCTCCATAACCTGCCTTTTTAGTTTTTTTATGTGTTGATACTTGTTGCATGTACATGACTGACTACATTCTTCACCGGTAATCAGTTTAACTTTTGCTCCTTCTTCAGCTCCCCAGAGGTTGGGGGTGAGGGGACTGCAAGTCCCAGCCCTTTAATCCTACCTTGGTCTTTTTAGTGACCAGCCCTAACCTAAAAGCTAGCTAGGGAACCATTCATCACATTATTAGCATACAAAAAGACTAAATCACTCAGATTTCAAACATTTTAGGAGTTGCTTGCCCCAATAATATCACACCTTGATTTGGAGGTGACAGAGTGGGAAGTAACAGAATTGTAGCAGTGGATCTAAGTGTGAGTGTTTATTTGTGCTAGGGTTTAGACCAAGGGTTAGGCAAGCCCTTTACCACTGAGCTGTATTTCTAGCCTTGCTGTTTACTTTAAATAGTACTTAATGATAGTCAGGAAGCCAGCAAAAGACTTAATAGAACTATGTACAACTATACATTTGGCTTTTTAAAGTCTCTTAGGGAAAATGATATTGTTTATTACAAATACTTATTTAATCGGGAATATTTGTGATTATGTTTACACAGGAAAGCCTATCTTTAAAAAGCCTTTTCTATTTTAGGTTGATACAAAAGCTGAACCAGCAGACTATATTACAAGTTTCCTGTGGCAACTGGCATTGCTTGGCTCTTGCAGCTGGTAATACCTTAATTATGTGATAATGCTGTGTTCATTTTAAAGACATTTTTCTCTTGAAGTTTTGTCTTATCTAATTTGAAACCTTTAAATGGTAAGGCTATGTACATTATTGTTGGACAGTGATAGTTCTCAGCCTTTTGCCTAGTACATTCTTTCTTCAGGGTGTGGATGATGAAGTAGGTGGCCACCATTGCTGTTTCAGCTCTCACAGGGGAAGGTGACTAGAAGGCAGGACCTTACCTAGGTGTTCTTGAGCATATAGTTTTCTTTTTCTTTTTTCAATTTGCAACCTTTTCTCAAGCTTCACTCCACTAGAAGTTAGCGAAATTGAAGCTATCAAATAATGTCATACTCTGTTGCAGTATATTTGTACTCATATACCCTGCCCGGTCATCTGCCAAGTAGTCCAGGTGGTCCTAGCTGGACTCCTGAAGTTCTGGGCCTTATGGTCTTAAGGCGGCCAGAACTAAGTTCAGCTTGCTTAGTAGACCTAAGACTGGTAATTGTCCTGTTCAACACTGAATTTACTTAAACCTTTAACATTTTCTTTGCAGAAGTGTTAATAGTGTTTGAAGGGCAGTACAATTTGATGTATTTAACTGTTGTCAAGTGGGAATTTTGGTTTTGACATCTTATAGCATGCAGTATCTCTGCTCCCTTGCTCTTCTATGTGGGGAATGTAGGGACCTCCACCAAATGATCTTAACAATTGGATTATTTTTATGTGTGGAACTTTTTAAACTGAGTTTATTGGTAAATTCTAGGTATACAGTACAGTTGCACACATTACTGGGATCTTGTATCTTTACATGACAGGTCTTGGTGGAACTTTTTTTTAATATCAGTTTTCTTGTTCTTATTTCAGATGGCCAGTTCTTCACTTGGGGAAAGAACAGCCATGGGCAGCTGGGCCTGGGGAAGGAGTTCCCCTCTCAAGCCAGCCCTCAGAGGGTGAGGTCCCTGGAGGGGATCCCGCTGGCCCAGGTGGCTGCAGGAGGGGCTCACAGCTTTGCCCTGTCTCTCTCAGGAGCTGTTTTTGGCTGGGGGATGAATAATGCAGGGCAGCTAGGGCTCAGTGATGAAAAAGGTAGGTAAGCTATTATACCTCTTCAGTTCAAAAGCACATTCATTTGTTTAATACATGCTTCATGAGGATCTGCTATATGCTGGCCCTGTGTTAGGTATTAAGCCAGGGGCAGTGAACAAAACAGAGAACATCCATGGCTTATATTCTAGTGGGTAGACACAAACCAGTAAATTTCTATGCCAGAGGGTTTCAGGAGCAAGCTTCCTATTTTATATAAGGTGTTCAGGAAGACATCTTTGACAAGAACATGTTTGAACAGAGTCTTAGAGGAAATAGGACTTGTAGGTATCTGGGTGAAAAATGCTCTATCCAGAGCTAACAGGACTTACAAAAGCTCTGATGTGATGTGTGCTGGATCTGGACCAAGAGGAAGAGGAGGGGTAGAGCTGAAGGTCAGAGGTAGTGCACAACCTGTCACTTGAAGGCCCTCATGGCAGTGTGATGATTATGGCTTATCTTTTTGAGAGGGAAAGACACTGGGGGTTTTGTTCTCTTTTTCTGGTATTAAGGATCAAACCTAGGTCCTCATGCATGCCAAACAAATGATCTTTAACTGAGCTAGACCCTAACCTAACACTAAGTGTTCTGAGAAGAGCAATCCAGTTTGACTAAGCTGTAGTGGGTCAAGGGAAAGACCGGTTTGGAGGTAGTTGGAGTAAAGCCAGAGTTTTCTACTGTTCGAAGGTGAGGCCATTTGGTTTGCTTATTGTTGGATGTGTGGTTTGGACCAAGGCAAATCTAGAAGGATAAAGTTTGGGTCAGGGCATGAAAATAAGGTGATTTGGGAAGAGTACAGAATTAGAGTGAGGAAACTGTGAGTCAAGCTGCACATCTATTAAAACTGTTATCTGTTGGGAGCTGGGGATTTAGGTCAGTGGTGCCACTGCCTGCCTTGAAAGCACAAGGTCCTGAGTTCAATCCCTGGTACAAAAAAAAAAAAAAAAAAAAAAAAAAAAAAAAAAAGAAAGGAGGTCTGTTGGACATCTGAGTAGAGATGCAGGCAGGAAGCTATGTGTAAGTCAGTAAGCCAGAGGGGCCCAGATTCAGGCTCAGCTAATTGTGTGTATTTTATCTCCAAGACCAGTAACAGTGCCATTATGATGCTTAATTTTTCTTCCAGATCGAGAGTCTCCATGCCATGTGAAACTCTTACGAACACAGAAAGTTGTCTACATTAGTTGTGGAGAGGAGCACACGGCAGTCCTCACAAAGGTAGGAACACCGAGAACTCTGCTTGGTGTAGGGAATGAGATGGGTGATTAGAATTGATTTAGCGATGGTGTTTTTAGTATTGTGGCTTGAACTTGAATGTTCCCTTTAGCTTTGGTTTGTCCTCCCTGCCAAAAAAAATAGAAAAAGATTGCTTTTTAAAAAAAGAAAAAAAAGTATATGTGTTTTTCTCTTTGGTAGTCTTGTAGTTCTCAGTAATATTCAAAAATAGTTCAATATAATAAACCTTAAAATATATATAAAACAATATGGCTGTCCTTTTATACAACTATTTACATATATAAAAGAAATACCAATTTAAATGATTTTAAAATGATCAACCTTTTTTTTGCTATATAGTTGCATTCTAGAAAGAATGAAAGTGTTTTAATATTGAGCAAATACTGTTGCAGATTTACTTTAATAAAATACCTTTGCAATTTGTTCATATTACAGCCTTTTTTTTTTTTTTGAGATAGGGTCTCGCCAGGTAGTTCAAGGCTTGAACTCACTGTGTAGTCCAGGCTTCTCTTCAAAGTTGTCACTATCCAAGAGCTGGGATTACAGGCGTGCGCATCTGCAGGGCTTCAAAGACAGTTTTAAATAAGCTTATGAAAGGGTTTGCAAAGCATTTAATTTTTTTTATGTAAATAGCCACGAAAAATTGTCTTACTTTGTTGTTTTTCCATTTAAATTTTTCCTAATGCCTCATTGTACTTTTAATAATTTAAAAATTTTATAGGGGTACACATCTCCTTGAACAGTGCTACTTTTGTTCCATAACAGTCTCCTTTTTTTGTTTTTCTTTTTAATGAACTCGAAATGATTTTGGTTAAGTATCAGGTGAAAGTAATGGAAATTCTCTAGACAGGTTTTAGAGGAGTGTCCTCAGATGCAGAGTGAAGTCATGTGGCATTTGTTCCTTGTCAGAGTGGAGGAGTGTTTACCTTCGGAGCTGGTTCCTGTGGGCAACTAGGGCATGATTCAATGAATGATGAGATTAATCCAAGAAGAGTTCTGGAGTTAATGGGCAGTGAAGTCACTCAGATTGCCTGTGGCAGGTGAGTGCTCCTGAGAACTTTGTGATACCTTGGAAGATCCAGAAATGGATATTGTCCTGGGAGTGTTGGAGAACAAGAGTACATCTAACCGCTGTCATTTTGAGAAATCCTAACTGCATGCATATTTATGTTGAAATCTGGACAAAGTCAGATCTTAGTAGAATGATGGGGCAGGAAAAGGTTTTAAATGAGCAGAACAACAAGGGGACAGGGTATGGGGAAGGAAGGAAAATAAGAGAATCCTGTGTAACTTCTTGGGATTTGGCAAATGCAGCAGGACTTGGAGCTCTTTCTGTGAGTTGCCATCCTGCATATGACCTGGACTGTCAGAGGATGGTATTCTGGAGCGCCAGCCGCTGTGCAATTATGCATTAACATAGTGGCAGGCTCCACAGGGTGTGCCTAAGGAACTGCTGTGCTCATGTGAAATTAAAGTCAGAGCCTTAGTGTGTGTCTTCAGCAACAGAAACTACTAATGACTTAATTTATTTCTTCATAGACAACACACCCTAGCCTTTGTGCCTTCTTCTGGACTCATCTATGCATTTGGTTGTGGAGTAAGAGGTCAACTAGGAACTGGACACACTTACAATGTCAAGTGCCCATCTCCTGTGAAGGGTTACTGGGCCGCCCACAGTGGCCAGCTTTCAGCTCGAGCTGGTGCGTGCTTTTCAATGGTATTTAATTATATTTTAGATAATGGATGCAATGATTTTGAATATGTATCTGTTATTTACCTTAAAGTCTTTTGGAGGGAATTAATATGAGGTGTTTTTTTTCAACAAAAATCAACAAATATTTAAGTATTTACTATGTCTGAAATTCTGTTGTTGAGATCCTATTTCTATAGGATAAAATGTCATTACCAAGGACATTGGTGGTAGTGTATAATTTTTTTTGAGATCCTATAGAAGTAAAGCATAAAATGTTATTACCAAGGACATTGGTGGTAGTGTATAATTTTTTTTTGAGATCCTATAGAAGTAAAGCATAAAATGTTATTACCAAGGACATTGGGGGTAGTGTATAATTTTTTTTTTTTTTTTTGGTACTGGGGGTGGGGATTGAACTTGGATCATTGCACTTGCGAGGCAGGTGGCGTCACCACTGAGCTAAATCCCCAGCCCTTGTATACATTTTTTATTGTTGCTAATAATGAAGCTGATATTTATTGAATGGTCAACTAAATTCTGTTACTATGTGAAGCACTTCAAACAAGCTAATTACTAGTGTTATTATCTTCATGGGAGAGGTAAGGGAAACAAACCTTCATGGTAAGTAACTTGCCCAAGATCATAAAGATCTTGGAGGCAAGATTCAAATGCGGATCAGCTTCATTCAAAAGCTGGTGTTCTTTTTTTTTTTTGGTACCGGGATTGAACTCAGGCCCTTGCGCTTGCAAGGCAGGCCACCGAACCGCTGAGCTAAATCCCCAGCCCTTAAAAGCTGATGTTCTTAGTACTTAGACTGTGTTACTTTTTCTTTGCTATTGATGTTTTGACTGCAATAAGATATAGTTTATTTTATTAATGTTTTTCTTAAAAACATTAATAGCAAAAAAATATATTAATAACAGAATGTTTATTTCATTGAAAATCAATGTAAGGCAGCTGTTTGTCTTGAGTAACTCCTTCATCTTGAAATAGCATTTCCAGAGGCTGAAATGAAACTGGAGAATCATTAAAAAGAAATGTAGTTTAATAATTCATTTTGAATTTGTAGTCTTAAACTGACATACTTAATGGCTTGATCAGTCTTCTTTATAAAACAACCATCTCAAATTCCCTAATGAATTATAAGAAATTTAAAGACAAGGACTGATTCTTTTCATTTTTGTAAATCTAGCATGTAGCACAGATCTGTGCATAAGCTTGTCACTCATTAAATATTTATGCATGAATATATGAGCATCTTCAAATGTGGTAGAATTTAAAATATAAAATAAACATGATTGTCTTTTGGAGATGTTGCCAAAAGCAAATGAACAGCTTGGTGTTCTCTTCTCTGTCATTTTGTAAATTTTCTTTTCTCCAAAACATTCTCCTCAACTTGGAATAAATGTGTTTAAGAAATATACCAATTTAAGAAACTCAAGTGTTTTGTAGGTTAATTTGAAACCACAATTTTTTGAAGTTGAATTATAACCTGACCCAACTTATGTGGTCATAAATTTGTCTTTGGGTTTGACAAAATGATTTTATAACATACACAGGTAAATTATAATTTATTATGTAAATTCTGTGTGTTTAGGAGCCTTTGTGTTTATGTGGGAACACAGAAGAAGACATGAAGGAGTACTCTGGTTAGAGGAAGTTGGAGCTGTGTCTGGCAGGGTGACTGGAGATAGCGGAGGAGAGGACTGTGAGGCAGAGGGTGGTTTGGATGCCCTCGGAGGCCATTCATGGAGAACACGGTGTGCTCTGAGGGTGGTGAAGAGGCGTGGAGATGTGAAATCATGGGATATTCGAAATAAAGCAGTTTAGGGGTGTTAGTGTTGACTTGGACACGTGATGGGAGCTAAAACAGGGAACAGAAAATAGGAGTTGCTGGCTTCATCCTGAAGGGGTCATAGTCATGGATGTGCAATTTTTGTTACACATATGTCGCCATTTATAGTAGTGTCCATTTTAGATTTTGAGTCAGTGGCATGACAGCATGAAAAATAGAAACAAGGTCAGGATTAGCTGGTGGTGACAGAGAGGCAGAGATAGAGTGAAGATACCATTTTATATGTTTATTTTCAACTTAAGTAGAGATAGTCCTGGGCAGTGAGCCAGGAGAGGTTTTCATGCTTCTCTGACATAATTAAAATGGGTAAAAAGCCACTCAGAAGCATGTTTCAGAGTATCAGAAAATGGGATAAGGGAGAAATTTCAATTACTGAAAAATATGTTGTTGGAATTTTTTTTGACAGATCGCTTTAAATATCATATTGTTAAGCAGATTTTCTCTGGAGGAGACCAGACTTTTGTACTTTGCTCCAAATACGAGGTAAAATTTCTTTTGACTATTACTTTGGGATGAATAATGGTGAATCTGTAATTATTTTAATAAATAATTACATGCAATCATTGTTATTTTGTTTCTACCAATTTTATCTTATTAAAGCAATCAAACTGAACCTTGAAGTATTTAGTATCTCCTTTTGGCTCCTTTGAAGTAAGTTGAAGTAGTTTTCCTGTTATTAAAATCATAATGTTCTGATGTATAATTTAAAATTACTTATTTATATTCATATTTGTTCTAAAAGAAATGTAAGAAGGCCCACAGCCTAGAGAGTTTGTGCTTTGGCATTATTTTTTTTTTCTTAGCTGTTAAGCAGCAATAAATTCTGGCAATAAATTTGAGAACTTAGTGGGTTGGATTTCTTTGCTTTATTTGATTGTGTAATATATGTAACAGAGATATCACAGTTTACAGTCATCTGTTACTCTTTTTAATCTGCTCACTACACCACACCTAGATCTCCTTCCTGTATCGCTCTAGCAGGTAAACCAGGAAGAGCAGTGGGTTTCAGGTAGTCACTTGAGGATCCAAGAAGCTGTGATAGTGCTATTCATTCCACTCTTCCTGTCCGAAAGTCTGGGTCTTAGACTCGAAAAAGCTCCATGTGTTTGTCCTGTGCCTCTTTCCTCTGTTCTCTGCCCCCTCCCTTTATTTCACAAGCATCCAATGAGGATAAACTCTGAGTGGGGCATTGAAGGGATGCTGGGTGATAAAAGAATCAGAATTGGCTGGGAAGAAAGCGAGCAAGTGAGGAAACAAGGGCCCTTTCAATCTTGGAAGGTCTTCCTGGTAATCTGGTACGTTGCCATCCTTAAATACATAAACCTCTTGTTCTCTAGTTGGTATAATTCTGTGATTCTGGTAAGGAAGGTGCTGGTGAAGCCTGAGGCTGCAGCTTGTGGACAGTTGAAACTGACAGTGTGCTTTCTCCAGGACAAGCCTGAAGAAGGCTGTGATGTGGGGTTGCTGCTTGAGACTTTGAGGCTCAGCTTCAGAGCGTTGCAGAGGAATATTGTGGAAAGCTGAGGTTATTCTTTATTTCTTCAAAATGCTAATAGGGCAAAATACTGAAAGCGCAGGGGGTCTGCAGTGTAGTAACTTTTTTGTCTACAAGTAGTAGACTTTTAAGTATTCATTACCTAGGAAACTGACTTGACTAATAACCTACTTTGTTTTGTCCATGAATATAAATTTTAGTGTTTTTTATTCTTCTTTTGGTATTTTGAGACAGGGTCTCACGATGTAACCTAGACTGGCCTCAATCTTTTGACCCTCCTGCTTTAGCCTTCCAGCTGCTGGGAATACAGGTGTGTGCCACAATGCCCAGCCATTCCTTTTATAAGCAGTCTAATGTATACAGCTAAAGTTCTACATTTTTTTTTCCAGTTCCGGTGATAGAACTCAGGACCTTGCACTTGCAAGGCAGGCACAGCACCACTGAGCTAAATCCCTGGCCCCCTGAAATTTAAATTTATTAACACGGTTGGGTGTGGAAAGCAAACCATTGATGAAAAGAAAGTGAACTTTAAACAGTTGGTATGGGGGGGCAGTTGGTAAGAGAAGTATGCATTAAAAACATTTAAGATAACTCAAATGGACAATTACTGAAAAAGGCACTGCTTTTTCTAAAAATGAAACCTCTACACATTTAGTTAAACTGTTAACCATAGATGTTTGTTTAGATACAGAGACTGAGAACATTATGTTCTTGCCCTGTTAATCCTATCACTTAAAAACCAAGGAAAAGCATCTATATAGTGAAAGCCTCTGTTTTTGTACAACTCGTTCATTAATGTGGCCTTGAGGTAGAACAACTGGGTCCAGTGGCACACACTTATAATCCCAGCTCTTCAGAAGGCTGAGTTAGAATCACAAATTGGAAGTCAGCAAAATCCTGTTTCACAATAAAAAGAGCTGAGGATGTAGCCCGTCACTCACTGTTCATTCTGCATAGCACCCCCTCCACACACACAGTTAACAGTATGAGTTATCCAAAATGCTTGAGACCATAAAATAAGTGTTTCAAGTTGGGGATTTGTGGGAGTTTTGGAATATTTACATATTTATAATGTGAGGCCTTAGGGACAAGACTGAAATCTAAATGTAGAATTCATTTATATTTCGTATATACCTATATATACTGACTGAAAGTAATTTTACATAATTTTAGTAAATTTGTATATGAAATTTTCCATGTGCTGCATCATGTTGATACTCTGAAGTTTTGGACTTTGGAACTTTTCAGAGTTTAGGCTTTTGGATTAAGGATGCCCAATCTGTATTCAGATATTCCTTTGCTACATTTGATTCTGGGTTTGGGTGACAGTGTAAACCAAAGGTTCTCCTTTCCCCTTTGTCTTGTTCTCTGGAAAGGATAGGATTGAAGAGAGTGTCATTAGGACTGTTAAGATTATGTTCGTCTGTCATTGCCTCAAAACCTGTGAGCTGACATATTTTTTTCCTTTCAACCTTAGTTGTCCATTGGAATCACCTGGAAACTTTAAAAACTACAGAAACCTAGAGATTCTCATTTAATGGATCTACCATGTTATTTGATCATTAGAACATTTTTAAAGCTCTCTTGGTGATCCAAAGTCTTTTTTTTTTTTAACTTGTACATAATTAGAAGCCATATATGGCTGGCAGTGTAGGTCACTTGTAGAGTGCTTGCCTTGCAGGAACCCAAAGCGTCTAGGGCTTGTTGGACAAATAATAAAGAATGAGAAAATAGTTCTAATTTTTTTAAAAGTCTGCATTATTACTGATGTTCTTCCATCCCTTTGAATTAGAGGAAATTAAAATGTTTTTTAAAAAAATGTTTTAAAACCAGGATGGAAAGAAAGATAGTCTCTGTATGTGCTCAGATGTCCACTCTGAAGTCTGCTTTGGCTAAAGAGTTTTATGCAATTCAAGATTATTTTTGTTCTCTCAGCATGTCTCTGTGATCATTTCAGTAGAGTAGTTATCAAAATCAAATGATCAGAAATTTTGAGACACATCTTGATGTATTATATGTCCTTTTCTTCTTAGTAGGGGCATCTTAACTCACAACTATAGAAAAGCAACTAGGAAAATTTACTTTTGAAAGTTACATGTTTTGGGGTATTTTTTGACACAAGGTCTTTCTACATAGTTCAGGCTGGGCTTGAGCTCACTGTGTAGTCCAGATTGGCCTTGAATTTATGGGATTCCTCCTGCCTCACCCTCCTGAGTGCTGGGATTACAGGCATGCACCACCACACCCCACCTTGAAAGTTATGTTTTATATATAAGTACAAAGGAAATAAAGGATCATCCTACAAATTGATGGGTGAATGCTTTAATGTTACTTTATTACTTTTTATAATAACAAGTGTAGGAGGTATAGAGCACCACCAGCTTTTTCTTAGTTCTAGATCAGGAAATTTGGGGAAATTAAGTTGAAAACAAGCAATGGAAAACCTCACTGGAAAAAGGTACAGTGCTGATCAGTGATTAGAATGTTCAGGGCCATTATTAATCTCTTTTTTGTCACTTTTCTTGCAAGTTTTATAGCTGTGTACTTGGAACGAGAAATTATGAGGCTTTAAATGTTCATGAAATATTTACTGTATAAATTATTACTTAACTGGCTTTAATAATATATTTTGTTGCAGTTTAGTAAACAATGGTGGCAAATAACTATTATGTTAGAGGCCTTAATGTTGTGGGGAAGAGATCTGAAAGAGTTGCACTGGGTTGGTTTTCTGGGAAACAGACTTTGGGCTCTGAGTTTGAGAAGGTTTACTATGGTACAGCATCTATGCAGCAGGGAATGAGACGTTGGGCAGAGAAGAAGTTACACTTCCATTCAGTTGCTGCCAAGGGCAGGTCCTGGAGAGCTGCCAGGGCTGAGCTGTCGCAGCTGGGAGTGAGTGACTCCATTTTGAAGGGAGGATCTGGGCAGCACATTCAAAAATAAGTGGAGGGAATGTAGGAGGGAGGAGGAAAGATCCATTCTGTGTAACTTCTTTTTTTTTCCCCTAGACCGGGTCTTGCTGTATAGTCCAGGCTGACCTGAAACTTGTGCTCCTTCTGCCTCAGTCCCTCTAATGTCTTTTTTTTTTTACTGTTATATTTAATTTCCTAGAATTATTCTCCTGCTGTTGACTTCAGGACTGTGAACCAAGCACATTATACCAGCTTAATAAATGATGAAACCCTATCAGTTTGGAGACAAAAACTCTCAGAACACAACAATGCAAATACAGTCAAGTATGTAGTTTCTTGTCCTTTTTTAAATTTTTCTAAAGTATATTGGCACTTTCTAGCTTAGTGATTTTCCCTACATCCATGTTGAGGTTGTGAATGTAAATGGAGCTTTCCATTTAGTCAATCTGTTCTTGTGCATTTATGCAAGGTTTGGTCCTATTAATTCCCAGTAATACAGTGGTTTTACTCTCAGTTCTCACACACTCCTCAGCCTGCCCTGTCAGTAGAAGATCTTTAAAATCCCAACTTGAGGAGGTCTGGGGTTTTAGCTGGCAAGTGCAAGATCCCAAGTTTGATCCCTGGTACAAAAGACAAACAAACAAACAAAAACTCCCAACTGAGGAAAGCCAAAATTGGCCTTTGTGATGAGAGAGGTCAGTATTAAATTTTGTAACAGCAATGACTGCCCTCATATTCATGTTCCAAAGCATCCCGAATCTAAGGCAGCTTTTATCTTATCTAATAAAAATAACTTCTAACATTTTTCCATTCAACAAAAAAGTATAATAAAACTTATTCAGGCTTGTGCTTGCTTTGGCAGCACAAATACTAAAAAATATTGAGGCCTTAGGTTTATTTCATTTTTAAAAGAATTTTTTCTGCACATATTTCTATATTTTCATTGTCTTTTCTTATTAGCATTTCTAGTGTTTTTGCCTCAGTTTTTGAAATGAGGAAATCAAGTTCTGTGACCAAGGGTGGTCATTCTGAGAGATGTGTATCATTGGTTTCACTTTATGGTCTAGATTGTACTTGGGCCGATGATCGGGACCCTGCACCTTGGAGCCCTCCTGCTAGTAGCCTTCTGTGTGAGCTGTCACTGGGAACATCCTAGAGCAGCTCTGCAGCAGCCCTCAGGATCCTCCTAACCCCAGGGGCTGTGCGAAGGAGTTCAGGTTGGAAGGGATGTGAGGGCGAGCAGAGGGTTAAGCTGGTTACCACCGGGAGAGCAGAAGACACTGTACTTCACCAGTAGCCCTGCTTTCCTATTTATAACATGAAGGGACTGGAGATGTGATCTCTAAAGATCTTTCCTGACTCATATTCGATGATTAACAGAAGTTACTGCAGTCGCTTCCTAGCCACATACTTGTCTTATTCTTTCCCTTCTCTCTGTAGTAAATAAGAGGATCAAATGTTTCTGACGTACAGTTTAGATTCAGTCTCACAGAAACTATTTTCTCAGAGACTTCGTGATCTGTGTAATAGAAAGAAACAGTTTGCTAATTTTTAGTTTATTTCCAAAATGAACAACAAGGTAGAAGAAAGTGGTAGGTCAGTTTTGAATTTGCAAAAGTAGTTGCTCGGAAAATAATAGCCCAGCTCTCTTGTTTTACTTTTTGTGTTTGGAGGTGAGGTGTAGGGAGTGTTTTAGACAGTTGGTAGTAGGAGAATGTTCATGCTTGTCTTCAGGGATAAGAGTTCTTTAAGAGCTTTGATGTCTCTTTCTTTTTTAAAAAGTAACTTATGGAAGACTTAAATTCATTCACATTTTGAGATGTGACACACAGTTTCTCTAAAGCATATATATATATATATTTTCCAAGTCTGCCTTTGCCTTAGTCGCTTTCTCACCACTGTAACACAACCCCCAACACCCATAACTTAAAGGAGGAAAGGGTTATTTTGGCTCACAGTTTGTAGTGGTTTCAGTGCATGATTGGCCAGCTTTGAGGTAGGATTGCATGGCACAGGGACATGGCAGAATAGTCACTGCTTACCCCTTGGTGGCTCATATCAGAGAGCTAGGAAGGGGGGGAGATGAGACTCTTGGTGGCCTCTTCTGACCAGACCCTTCCTCCTAACAGCAAGTCAACTGTGCCATCCCCACAGCCCGATCACCTTTCATATGCCTGAGCCTATGCACCTTTGGGGGATGCTTTTCAGGGTAGGAGCGAGCTACCACTAATGAAACTTTTTTTGGATCAAGAGATTGACTAGATAATTACTGATGCTTAAATAACCTTTTATTTGCAATCACTAAAAGCTTCCTTCTCTTTCTCTCTCTCTCTGAGTAGTGGTGTTGTTCAGATATTATCTTCTGCAGCCTGTTGGAATGGAAGTTTTCTTGAAAAAAAGTAAGTGACTTATGTATGGTCTTTTAAAAAACCCACATGTGGTGTACTTACTCACCAAAGGGAGTGAAAGACTTCTGTTATTTCTGATGATTTTTGGCCTTACCTTAGCGAATAAACTAAAGCTTTTACAAAAGTTGGATGCCTAAGGATGATTGAAAGGAGGCCAGGAAGGACAGTCATGCCTGGTTGGCACAGAAATACTCTACTTAGTAAAGAGTAAGACTGTGTCTCAGGAAAAATTGGTATAATCTAAAGTCAGAATTTCAGGATACAGTGTTACCCACACCATACATATATTAGTACTTTGTTGTTCTTATTGTCTTATGGTACTGGGAATCAAACCCAGGGACACTGTCACTAAGCTGCATCCCCCCACCTTTAGATTTTTGAGAGTCAGTTGCCTGTGCTGACCTCACATTTTCAGTCCTCTTCAACCTCTCAAGTAGCTGGGGTTACAGGTGTGCATTACTGTGCCTCGCTATTTGTGCTTGAACTCTTAATTCTTCAGATACTCTCATTGATCTCTTTGATATGCTTCTCCATAGTATTTTTCTCTTCTCCAAAGGGAGAACTTCCAGGGAGGCTTTAGGGAATCCTTGTACTCAGGTCCAGCTCAGCTTGCCTTTGAAGCTGTATTTGTGGAGGAACTCCCAGGCAGCAAGGAGATCTCACTTTGCATGGCCTTATCTCTTTGGCCAGTTTTCCCTTCAGAACCTGATGCAGTTTAAGGGTTTTGTCATGGGTTTGGATCTTTGGTGATCTGAAGTCCTTATCATTTCTCAGTACTTTTTGCCAGTGACCAGACTAATGAGATTTCCAGACAAATGTGTTAGCCAGAATATTTTTGACAAATACTTTTGAGATAATCGACTTCTAAAGAGGAAAGATTTATTTTGGCTTGTGGTTTTAGTCCATACTTGGTTGGTAACACTGACTTTGAGGCTGTGGTGAGGAGAGTGTGGCAATATAGAGCACAGCAGTGGAAGCTGCTCACATTTTGGAGTCCAGGAAGCAAAAGAGAGGAAGGGGCTGGGGTCTTAATAAAACCTTCAAGCGCATGCCCTTAGTAACCTCATTTCCTTTTACTATACCCTACCTCCTAAAGATTCTGTTATTTATAGTAGTGCCATGGACTGGGCACCAAGCCTTTGACACATGGGCCTTGCAGGAGCTTGCAAGATCCAAGCTATAGCAACAAGATAGACTTCAGTTTTGTGTATGAATCCCAAGTCTACCCTTAAACATATGGCAGTTGTCAGGGTCCTTCAAAGGACCAGAATAGGATGGGTGGATCGGAGATGATATACTGTGAGATTTGGCTCATGTGATCATGGAGGCCGAGAGGCCCTCTGCACTCCACATGACCTAGGCATGGCAGTAGCGTGGCTCAATGTGAGGCCGTAAAACCAGGAAGCTGCTTTAAAACCAGAAACATTTAGGCCAAGTTTGAAGGCCCAGAACTAGGAGGCTTCTAGTGTCAGACCGAGAGAGCGGGGGAGAGAGAGGGGAGAAGGGAGGAGAGAGAGAGTGTGTGTGACCTTGCCCCCCATAGACATTTGTGCTATTTCAAGAAGCCTGCTTCTCCTGTGTGTACAAGATGCATCACAAAAACCAATCAAAATGTGAAGACCAGTTTTATAAACCAATGTATATGTATAGAAAATAATTTTTAAATATTTGGGCAGTAGAATTAATTTTGGGGCCCATTTATTTTTGGTGCAACAACAAAGGAGAAAAGCTATTACTCTTGATTTGACCATTTGTATTCTAATACACATCAAATCGTTTTTTTTTTAACATGTTAGAAACTCTACCTGTATTTTTGTGTATTGTGAGTTGCTGTCAGCGGGTGTTAAAACTATTTAAATGTGTCAATTACTCATAAACAGAAGCTTATTTTGCAAGTAGAAAGCTCTTTTGTAAACAGATAGGTGTGATACAGTGAAGAGAGGGAATTTAAGAGATAATTTTCTAAATCTCTGAAAGGCTAAGAATACTTAAGGGTGGGAAAACTACTATGAAGTTAAAAGGTTGCTGTGAAATTAGTCCTTGGGAGAAAGTAATTGTGTCCCATGTGTTCAGAGAGATAATTGCAGTTGTTGTAGATCCGATTTTTACTTAAGTACTTTGTTAAGGAAGACTAAGAAAGACATAAATAAAGAAGTTCTCTTTGCTGTTTGCTGATGGACTGGCCGGTTTGCGCCTGGCTACGGGGTCTGAATGGCATTGCAGCACCAGTGTGCAGTTGCATGAAAAGACAAACAACAATCCATAAAAGTAGGGGAAGTAACACTCTGAACTTCAAGGAGTTCAAAAGTCAAAATCTTTAAACAGTACAAAGATTGAAAAACAATTTGAAAATTTAAAATAATCTTCAAAAAAGAGATGCCTAAGAGTTCTATTTGGTAGGTCTTCCCCTAAGTGTCGTCTTGTAGATCTTGTCTGCCAGGTCAAATTTAAATCTGATTAGCATAGACAAACTATTTTTGTTTATTGTTTATAATTTCTATCCCAGTGCTTGTTTTGTTTTTCTATGCTGTTTTGTTTGTTTAGAATTGATGAACATTTTAAAACAAGTCCCAAAATCCCTGGGATTGACCTGAACTCAACTAGAGTGTTATTTGAGAAGTTGATGAACTCTCAGCACTCCGTGATTCTAGAACAGGTAAGTTCTTGACATTTACAAAGTATGTTTTTGGAAATGCTTTTTTGGGGAATATGGGGGATTGAACTAGGGTCCTTGTGCTTGCGAGGTAGGAGGTGGAACCACTGAGCTAAATCCCCAGCCCTGGAAATGCATTTCTGCATTTAATAACTCTACTTTTCCCCCTCAATTTTTTTTTACTAGTATATGTTTGTGATACATGGGAATAATTCAACTTTTAAGAGAAAAAAGTGAAAAGACAGATCTTGTACAAATTTTAATTTTGCTATTCATTTTGGGAATTTGGCCTTCTTTTGGCTTTCTTTTTGGCTTAATCTGAGGAATATGAGATCTGTACAGTAGGAGCATTCAGATTTTCTTCTTGCTGAGGTTCTGAGAGCCTTGACTAATACCTGGTTGGTAGTAGTTGATCAGTGCATAGTGAAGGAATAAGAGTGAGTCTATCAAGTAGCATATGGATTTAGAGATAGATTAACCAGTTCTCATGCACATTTGAATTTCTCATTACTCTGTTCTTTCATACAGATCTTAAACAGCTTTGAAAGTTGCCTGATTCCACAGTTGTCAAGTTCACCACCAGACGTTGAAGCAATGAGAATCTATTTAATACTTCCTGAGTTTCCCCTGCTCCAGGATTCCAAGTATTACATAACACTGACTATCCCCTTGGCCATGGCCATTCTGCGGCTGGATACAAACCCTAGTAAAGTATTAGGTGAATGTGCTGACATCATTCAAGTGATTTTGTGCTTATTTTGTTGGTGTGACCCCTGGTTCTCAGTGCATTGAGATCATTTAAACTTTTCTTTACTGTTAATGTCTAGCTAGCCCTATTTGTAGTTTGAGCAAATTGAACCATGGCTTAGGTTATTGAAAATAATTCATGCCACATCAGTCTTGATTTAGAAATATCCCCAAATCCAATCACTCAGTGTATTTTCTTCCCTCCCACATTTGCTTCTAGTTAATAGTACCTGAAAAGTTAGTGTCTGCCATACCTTTGTAGCGAGTGGGAGTGGACTGGTTTTGGTGAAACAGGTCTCCAGGAAAGAGAGGCAGAAAATGACCTTGTGGAGGCTTAGTAACTGTTTGTTTTGTTTTTCTTTTCAGGATGGTTGAGTCCACACTGACTTTTGCAGGCTCTGGACACTTTGCTGAGATAAGAACCTTCTGTTCCTCAGTGAATTGGAGAGTGTCTCTCTTGGAGTAGCACCTGAGATGTTTTTATTAACCAAGTGCAGGAAGTCTGTCACCTGGCTTTTTATTTTTACATCCCTGGTAATTTTTTTTTAGGTGTTTGTCACAACTCAGTAACTCTTGTGTTCAGATGGACTGAGCTGCTGTTTGAGCATGGTCTCTCTCTCTCCTGATTGAAGAGAGAGCCATATGGTTCTGTTCCTTCATACAAAACACAAAAGCAGAAATAATAATAAAAGTATTTGTAATATATTAGTAGTTAGCTTTTTAAAGATCAGAAGCCATTTGGAGCACATTTTCTTAGGTGTTCTAACAGTTGTGAGATAGAGTACAATCTCTGAAGAAATAGTACCTAATTTTTTTTAATAGTACCTAATTTTAAGTTTTGAGGTTATAAATAAACTATTCCAGGTCTGATGACACCAAAAAACCAGATCCAAATTTTATATTAAATTCATTTTAACTTTGAATTATTGAAATTTGAAAGAATACCTCAAAAGAGCACTATATGTATCCAGCACATATTTAACATTGTGAACATTTTGTCCTTTTTATTTTATTTTGCCCCTGCTTCTTTTTTAATCTTACATTTTAAAGGAAAGCTCAGGTGTCATATTATTTCATTATTTCAGTGTGGCTAAGTTTATTTCTAACAAAGTAGAAATCAATAGTATAATCTTGTCTGGGCAGGAGAAAGCATTGTTTGGAGAAAAATAATAAAATTAGTAGTTTTTCAAATAATCTTTAAGGAAAGAAATAGTTTTCATGTTGGTGCTGCTTGTAGGGCCTGTTGCCTTTCACATCCCTGGTGTGGATGAAGTAGTGGCTGAGAAGAGTGCTGAAGGAACTAGGACATCTGAGCACTGTTTGAAGTAATTCAGTAGACCTCCCTTATTCCTAGAATATGTGTACCTGGTCCTCTTGCAGCCTTAGAATTAACTTTTTGATTAGCCTTCAGAATGAATTTGAAAAAATTCAGATTTGCTTTTATCAAAACAGAACAACAAAAACACCTCAGGGATTCTTGTATAACAGCTACGGAAATTTCTACAGAAATATTTTAATGGATTCTTCTTTAAAGTCAGTTTGGAGAAGCTGCATTTTACACTAATGTTTATCTTCTGGCTTTTGGAGTTTTTAGCTGGTAGTCAGAAGCATACATACTTGCTCAAGATTGTATGTTGAAATATGTTTTTTTTTTTCCTTTCTTAAGATAACTGGTGGTCTCAGGTATGCCCCAAATATTTCATGAAGCTGGTAAACCTCTATAAAGGTGCAGTCCTTTATCTACTGAGGGGAAGAAAGACATTCTTAATTCCTGTTCTGTTTAACAATTATATTACAGCAGCTCTCCAGCTCTTGGAAAAGCTATATAAGGTGAGCATAGGAGCATTGGTGGGGAGGTGGGTGAATAGATGGTGGGGTGAAATGTCTGGCTGACGTGTTCTCTGGGAAGCCATTTCTCCATTCTCTGTGTTTAGTTATCCTTATTTTGCCTTTTATCAGGTAAATCTTAAAGTGAAGCATGTGGAATATGATACATTTTACATTCCTGAGATTTCTAGTCTCGTGGACATTCAGGAAGACTACCTCATGTGGTTCTTGCATCAAGCAGGGATGGTAAGGATTCATGTAAACCACGTCTTAACAATTCAGTCTTTTTTGCGAAGTACAAATCAGGACAGGAAAAGCTCATCTGAGCTGTACAATTTGTTTTGTTTTTTAATATTTTGTGGAGACAAGGTCTCACTGTGTAGTTCATCCTGGCATGAACTCACTGTCCAGCCCATGCTGGTCTCCACCTCATGTCAGTGCTCCTGCCTCAGCCTCCTGAGTGCTGGGATTACAGGTGTGCAGCACCACGTCCAACTGTACAATTTGTTTTTGACTTTGATTTTACTGTCCCATCTGTTTTCTACCCACCTGACTTTTTCAGTCTTGAAACTTGGAAGTACTTTAGGTACTTTAGGTCATAAGGAGTCATAAGTGAATAATGACCCAGAATATTATAATTTTTTTTTAGTTAGCAGTATTTTAAAAAATCAAGTTGTCTTTGGTCAGGATAAAATAGTGATCATGTGTGTACTTAGCATGTGCAAGGCCCTACAGTCAGTCCTCAGCATCACATGAAAATACAAGCAAAACTGGCTATGTCTAAAATGGTTATGGGCTGGGGATTTGGCTCAGTGGTTCCACCGCCTGCTTCGCAAGCGGGTGGGCTCGAGTTGGATTCCTGGTACCAACAACAACAACAAAAAAAGTAGTTAAATTCACAGAAACAGAAAATGCAATAATGGTTGGGACGGGTAAATGGGAATTGTTATTTAATGGATATAAAGTTTCAGTTTTCAAGAGAAAAATTTCTGAAGATCCTGTGTACAACAGTGTGAATATACTTCTATTGAAGCTATACATTTAAAAATGATAAAGGTGGTGGATTTTGTGTTAGCTCATTTTTACCAAGTTTTTAAAAAGAACTCATATGAAAATATGAATTTCCAGCTCTTCTTGAAACTTAGAAAATCTGGCAGTACAAATTGTTTTCCCACATGGCACCAACTGGCTGGATTTCAGTAGTGGCCCTTCACTGAGGCTTGCTGGGGGCCACAGTCCCCAATGCAGATCGATGTACCCCTGACTTGGAGGAAAGTGTCACTTGCTAATTACTGTCTTCTCACAGCCAGCCTATTTTAGTCATCTTCTGTCAGCTGCCCAGCCTTGTAGGCCACCTCTGGTTTTAGAACTGTTGGCAGGAAAATGTTACATATCCCTGACCCGGCTTTCACCATGTGTTAAATGAACTGTTCAAGGGATTGGATTCCTGCTGGCCGCCCCTAGCATGGCAGGATCTGCTCAGTTTGATTGCAGACTGGCTTTGTGTGTATGCCCGTCTTTTTAGAATCCTCTTTAGAGGCCTGCGAATGATGTCAGAAAACAGAGTAACTTTATTAATGTAGTTAAGCCATGTGCAGAGGATACATTTGAAGCGAGACCTTGGTCACGTCAGCAGATTCATTGCCAGTAAAAGGGTAGTGTTCTTCTCTGTAGGCTTTGTGGAGGTCAGCTGTGGGTATCTAAAAGCAAGGCATTTAAATAGGCCCCTTTAACTGACAGATCATACACTTTGTCGGATGACAGATGATGGGTGCGACATGCAAAGTTGTATCTGTTTCTGTAGAAATATTTTAAATTGGCACAGTGTTAATTTTTAATATGATTTTATGATCACCCTGAAGAAACAAAATACTTTGCAGTAAGAACAAGGTGTTCTTGATGAGATAGGATGGGAAATTCAGTGAGGGGTGATGTGGCAATGAAGTTTGCTATCACTGAATTTAGAAATTATGCGAAGATAAACTTCTCTATTGTATCACTTTATGAACACTTTTTTTTTTAGTTGAGTTTATTGGTACATTTTAGGTATACAGTACAGTTACATTCATCATTGGGATCTTGTACCTTTACATGACAGGTCTTGGTTCTCATTTTTTCCCCTTGTCCCTGCCCTCCCTTTACCCCCTCCTCGAACACTTTTCTTTAAATAAAATGTTAAGTGCTGAAGCAACCCTATGAATTATATAAGCCAACTTTTATTTCTAGGTTGGGAAAGGGAGGCCCAGAGAAATTAGATAACTTTTCTATGAAGTTGGTTAGCTATAACTCTTCTGACCTATTCTTTTTGTGACTGATCCTGAAAACAGTAGTTATAACCAATTCAGTTTCTTTTTGACCCTGAGAAAGAAGTTGCTCATGTTAAAAATTTAGATTATCATGACTCTGGTCTCCAAATGGAGTACTTAATGAGCAAATTTCCCTTTTTGGGAGGGGGTTCTTTTAACATTGGATAAGCAAATATCTCCTCTTCAATGATAAAGGTAGTTATTATGGAAAGACAGAAACTTAATGTTATCCTTTGCGATTTCTGTGGAATTTTTCCTGCTGTATTGGGTGTGGTACAATTAGAAGTCAAAGTTCAAATTTCTTAGTATCTTGGATTTTTGCTTTAAAATGCTACTGCTGTTCTATGTATACTTTACTGTTTTAACCACTTTAAAATAAAAATGATAGATTTTTTTTAAGCTGGCTGCAGCAGAGGCATTATAGAAAATAGTGTAGAGAACATGCTTAAGTTAAAAAGGCTGGATTGTAAGTCTCAACTGTCGTCTGCTGGTTGTGGCCTCAGACAAGTTCACTGATTCCCGCAGGCCTACCACCTGCAGTTGGACTGAGAGCTCTGACAGCGCTGTGAGGGTTAAATGGGAGAATTCATTGAAGGATCATTAGCAAGGCGCCTGAGGTATAATGAACCCTCAGTGCTGTTTTTCACTCAGCAGTTCTGCAGCATCGAATGTACAGCACGCTCCTGAGTGGTCACTGCGGCTGGGGATGGGACCTGGAAGTGGATCTGCCTTTGCCGAGCGTTTGGTTCAGTGAAGAAGCTGCAGGGAGAAATTACAGAGGGATGTGCACACGTGTGCAGAAGGAACATTGTAAAATGCCTGAGTTTTGCTCATTTTTAGAATATTAGTAGTTTATTTCAGTCAGTCTGCCATCATCTGTGCCTAAAAATCAAACCTCCGTTGAGTCAGGATCTTTGCAGGTTCCCACAGAGGGCAGCACAAGTGAGGCATTCCTGTGATGCACAGAAATCCTGAGAACTAACTACCAGAGAGCTCGCCATGTAGCTGTGTGTGTTGGAGGACATGCACTGCACCTGGGCAGTTTTTCTGCTCCAAGGGCTGGTGTTGTACATGTGTGAGATAGTGCAGACCCTGAGGAGAGCTGGCTGTGTTTCCTCCCCGGCACTGCAGGTGTTTGTGCAAATGTCTCTTGTCCACACCAGCCTCCTTTAGGAAATGTTTTATCGGTATTTAAAAGAAAGATATTTCTAGTTCTTTGGTTTTATATAATTCATTGCTTCCACTCATTTTACATGATTTAAAAGGTGAATTTAGGTCACAGTGCAATCCTGTTTGAGTCAAGCACCCTTGAAGTTAGCTCACCAATACTTTGTTTTAAGTTTGTGAGACCCATTTGGGGGGAGTGGATATCATGTGATACATAGCCTCTCTAGAGATGAGTACTTTTCCTGATCAGTCCATATGCATCTTCTAGACTAGAAATAGTAGTAACAGGAGAAAAATTGCTGAAACTTATTTCATATGACATAAGAACGCCAGTATTAGAAGCAGTATCTAAAATATTCACCACGTACAAAAACCAAGCAAAATTATTATATTTCAAATATAAAAACCCATAGAACTTTAAAATTTTATAAACCAGGAATGGTGGCTCACATCTATAATCTCAGCTACTTGGGAGGCTGAAGGCTGAGGCAGGAGAATCTGCTGTTTGAGGCCAGCCTGGGCAATTTATCAAGATCCTGTCTCAAAAAAGAAAAGGGCTGGGGATGTAACTCAGAGCATCCCTGGTTTAATCCCTAGTACTGAAAAAACAAACAGAATTCATAGTTGTAGTTCTGTAACTTGTTGTGATGGAATCCTGATCCCTCCTTTGCCTTCCTGAGAGTGGGCACGTTGGTTTTCCAAGGCTTTGTTATCTTCCGTCTGCCTTGGTGACTCACCTGGGATCTCCAGACAACCCATCCTGGGAAACTTGCCTCTGGCCGCAACTTTGGCTCTTAACCAAGGCCATTAAGATTTCTTTCTATCTGAACCAACAGAGAGGACAGTGACCCTGAGCTCTTTCACTGTGGGGTGTGGGGCAGGTCAGCTGAGGAGACTAGGTGAATGTTAAAGGGGGTTAGGGAGAGAGAGAAACAGAGCAGGATTGAAGATCCTGGAGACTCAGAGGAAGCTCATGCTGTTGGCTGAAGAATTCTATCACACCATCAAGAATACAAATACTTTAAAGTGCTGGGTAATAGACACTGTTGTGCCACCACTGTGTTTGTAGTCCCTGTTCTTGATACCCAGCAAGGGCTCACTGCCTGATGTGCATAGAAGAAAAAAAAAAAAGTGAATTTTATTGTGCTGTTGACTGTCAGGGACACCGGAGCTATGAGTGCGGATCTTTCCAGTTCACTTGGTGTTGTGGGAATTTGTAGGAAGGAAGACGGGGAGAACCTGCTTGTTCATTGGGTCTGAAGCAAGGGAAGTTTTAGGGTTCTTTTTTTGTGGATGTCACATCTTTTTTTACAGGTTGCATATTTCTATTCTGGGGGAGCGGTGTTTGGTGTGGGGGGATTGTGAGCTTGTGACCACACATGGCATTGACTGGATGGGCCATCTGCTTCTGGGCATGTCCATTCTTGAAAAGCTGGTCTCCTGCCATCCTTGAGTGGGTTCTAGGAAAACCCCTGAAATACTTTATGGTTTAAGGAATGCATATGGGGGTATATCTAGGCCTTAGCCAATTTTATGATTGCTTTTCCCATATCACTTTTTGCATTCCAAGTGTTCCGACCCTTTCTTTGCTTTATATATCAACACATATAAAAGAGCTTTCTTTTTCCTTGTCAGTAGACAAATAATGCTTAAACAGATCTCTCCTATGAGAAAGATTAAAATGTTGTAAATACTGGTACTGGCATTACTAGCTAGAATGGCTAATTGCCTCATATAAGGTGAAAAGTTTCCATAGACTAGGTGTGGTTGAATCAAGGTGAAAGTTTATTACAGAAGAGTACAGTAGGTTATCCTGTACCCTGTCAGCAAAGTGGGTTAGTTAAGAAGCAGAGCATAGCTGGGCATGATGGTGGACTTGAGGCTGAGGCAGGAAAATTTCTGCTACTAGCCCAGCTCAGGCAACTTAGTGACTTAGGGAGACCCTGTCTCAAAATGTGAAAAGGGCTGGGATGTTGCTAAGTGTGAAGACCCTAGGTTCAGTCTTCAGTACTGCACGCGTTTACAAACACACACACACACCCCACACACACCCACTCCTAAACCAGGCTGCTCCATGAGCAGAGGAGCCCAGGAATAAGAGCCGGCTGCTCCATAGATAAAGCAGGCAGCTCAGGAGAAAGATGATAATGCTAAGGGCTCCGCGGACAGAGCAGCTTCCAACGATGGCGTCTTTCACTTTTATGGCATCTCAGTGGAATGTTGTTACTCACTTCTTTACAGGAGGGGGTAAGGTCCCCGCATTAGGTGGAGTTTACCATGCAGATGTGTTTGGAAGTCTAGGTCAGCTCTGTCTGATCAGTCTCCAATTTGGCTTGCATGTGTTTTATCTTTTTTGCCCACACATCTCACTATTTTATCTCAAGGACTACAGTAGCTTTCTAGTTTATTTAACAGCCTAATTTGTTTTCCCACTATTACTGCTTCAAATTGCGGCTGCCTGCTCCTTTTCTTTCCAGCTGCTGTTTTAAAGTCTTGCCCAATGCCTCCCCACCCCATGCCGCCCAGTTTTCTGCTCATGTCCTGAGGATGGTCTCATCTTTTATAGGTACCTAGGTAGAAGAAAACTTAAATTTGCAGGAATTTACATTCTCAAATTCAAAGTAATTAGGTATGGAGACATGAGACTAGAAAACTGAACTTTGCGTAGTCCTGTGGTATAGTATGGTAATTGTTGTTTTGAAGCAATTTCATTGGTTTTTTTTTTTTTTTTTTTTTTTGGTACCAGGGATTGAACTCAGGACCTTGTGCTTGTGAGGCAGGCGCAGTGCCACTATGCTAAATCCCTGGCCCAGAATTTCATTTTTAAACTCAGACTAAGTAGGTATATAGGCATGGGAATGAATCAAATTGCCCTGGATTATATATGCGTAATTTTTGGTCTTCATAGACTAGAATTGTTTCTCATTCTTGAGAAATGTTGCAGAATTCCTAAAGGAATCTAGTTCTAAGGGATGAACAGAGTGGATTCTAATTCAAATTGCCTTTAAATGATTTCATTTAAATATGAATAAACACAAAGGGAAGTATATACTTTATACTCATAGTATTTAATTATAAACCCACATCAAATTTACAAATAAAAATATGAGCAAAGTCAGTAAAATGCGTCTTAGCTTCACTGACTTAATGTGATGAACAAACCTGTCTTCTGAAGCTCCCAGCTGTCGGCCCAGAGCACTTCCGTTCTGTGTTCCACTTACTGCCTCTCTCCCGGGTGACTCAGCCCTTCTCTTCCTTTCATCTGCTATTAAACCTCACTCATGCATTGAACCAGACTCTGTCAGCCTTTTCCTTGGTGAAATTGCAGTATTCACCTGGCAAAACTGCTTTTCTCTTTTCTCATTATCCTCGGACAGTTAGGTATTTATATGGCTCCAGTGCATTCCTTACAAAATAAATGTCAGTCCTGTGGCTACATACTATTCTGAGGAGCTCATTCAGATTGTGTTTTTGTTTTGTTTAGAAGATCGTTTTTAAAACCAAAGAGTATTTTCAAATTCTGGAATAAATTCATGGTTTTCTGTTTGAGAAATATTGCTATAGATCATCATGATCTGTTTTGTTGATTTTTTGGGGGGGCCTCTGTTAATGATATTTGTTACATAACTTAACACATTTCCAGAAGAGATTTCCTTTTTTTCCTTACTCTGTACATGAAACCATGACATACCTATTAGATGTACTTTCTTGTGGTTATATTTTTTTGCCAGTTCTCCTCTCCTCCAAAATTTATTTGCTGATTCTAGCATTGAGAGTGTTTTCCATGGACAGCAGCTGGCCTAGGTGCTGCAAGGGCAGTGTACTGGATAGCCTTCTATGTACTTGGTTCCTCCTAAGTGTGTATGAAGGAGCACACAGCATGCTGACACACAAAATTAATTTTAATTACAATTTGAGTATCCTAAATCTGCAAATGTTCCAAAATCTGAAACTTTCAGTGTTGAGAAGGTGCCACAGGTGGGAATTTCATACCATGAATCTTTGTAGCAAATTCCCTTCAGACTCTGTGCAGAAGATGTGTATGAAACAACTGAATTATCTGCTTTAGACTTGGATCCTGTCTACAAGAGTTTTCATTATGTATGTGCAAATGTTTCAAAATCTGAAAATATCTTGAATATTTTTGGTCTGAAGCACTTTGGATAAGGGGTACTCAACCACTTTACCTAAGAGGGTTATCCTATGACGTCCAGGTTGTTCAGCTTCTGGTTTGGAATTAGGTTTCTTGTAAGGAGAATTCTATTAATGCTGTGAGTTATGACATGTTAATGAAATGGCTTTTAAAGGTTCTTTAAAATTAAAAAAAAATTTCCCCCTAAGTCTGTGTCCATCAAAATGTCTATTCTTTCTCCAAGAAAAATGTAATCAGCTGTGCAAATGATATTAGTTTTGTGGCTGAATAGTAGATAGACTGTGTTTTATGGTTTATATTTTACATTTTTAGGGGTTAAAAATTCAGGCTTTGTGACTTAAGACTTTTTATTTTTCTTTATACAGAAGGCTAGGCCATCTATAATACAGGTAAATGATAACTTTTAAACTACTTGCATATTTTTCCAACAGTACTCTTTGTAAAATACAGTAATATTGCCAATAATTTATTTTATGCTAGGATGCTGTAACTCTTTGTTCCTACCCTTTCATCTTTGATGCCCAAGCCAAGACCAAAATGTTACAGACGGATGCTGAGCTGCAGATGCAGGTATCATATTTTTAAAACTTCCGTTTTTACTATGTTTTTGCCATCTTAGATACTCAGTTTTAATTTTGCCTGGCAGGAGAAAGTATATCTGAGTGAAATTTCATTATAATACTTAGAACTCTTCTAAATTTTTAAAGTAATATTGATATACATATGTTAATGAACATTTATGTAGGCTGTGAGTAGCAAATATTTTCTGTAATGAGCTTAGTTACTTTTCTCTCGTTGCTGAGACAGAAATACCTGATACCCAAAGTTGGAGGGGGAAAGGTTTGTTTCTCTCACAGTTTGTAGAGATTTCAGTCCATAATCAGCTGGCTCCGAGGCAGGGTGGCACATAGCAGAGGGCCAACAGTTCGTAGCAGATGACAGCAAAAGTAAGAAGGGAACCAACAAGCTACCCTAACAGTATCTTTCTGTCCCTTTTATCCAGACTCCTTACGGTGGGTAGCACTCAAACCCTTAATCCTGGTGCCCTGGAGCCTAGTATTGCACTGTGAATCAATCTGAGTCACACATTCTAGACCCATCTACCTCAGAAAAAGCTCTATACCGGACTGCATGAGGCTTTGGGGGCACATCTAGATACAAGCCATACATGGCCTTATAGTAAATATTTCAGGCTTTGTGGGCTCTATGGTCTGTCCATAAAACAATAAGTGATAGTACAAAAATGGGTAAGTGGTGGTATTTGAATAAAATTTAATGTATACTGAAATTTGAATTTTATCCAATTTTCAGTTGGGAAATAGTATTCTTATTTCTTTACTTTCTATGACTTAAAAATGTAAAAATCTTTCGTTAGCTCAAAAGCTGTTCAAAGGCTGGATGTGGTGGTTCATGGTTGTAATCTTAGTAACTCAGAAGGCCCGGGCAGGAGAATTGCATGTTTGAGGCAATTAGCTAGTCTAAATCACTTTCCTGGACCTGAGTATAAATTATATGATTCATAAACTGTTTCATAAACCGATTCATACACTGTTAATCTGCACTTTAGAGATCACATTAAAAGATATGTGTTCTGTGTAAACATAAGTGAATTGAAAAATAAAAAGAATAGGCTGGGAATGTGGGTTGGTGGTTAGAACACTTGTCCAGCATGGGTTTATTCCCCAATATGACACACAGATATAACCCACCTTGCAGAAATGGGCAGCAGGATAGATTTGATCTGTGGGACCAAAGTTTTCTGCTTCTGGATATAGAGAAAGATGATGAAATAAATCTTGATTACCTTAATTGAATGGAAATTTAAGATACAGAGATTTAATAGTTAGGGTTTAATGCTGTTTTTATTGTAAGATACTGATTTTGAGGAGCCTACACAGGGGCTTGTGAATTAGCAGTCTTTCTCTGTCACCTTTTACTTTTGTAGATACACACCTTCATTCATCTCTCTGTCTCTCTCCATATCTGCCTGCGTCTCTCTAGTTCTGTTTCTGTGTGTCTATTTTCATAGTTTTACCAATGGTATTGACAGTTCATAAGTCTTCCACAGAAATGGGTACTTTTCACAAAATAAAAACCTTTTTAACAAATAATTGTTAGGTTTCCTTACCTGCCATTTTGAAAATCATGGTTTTTACCAGTCTGTTATACTTCATTTACATTTTTATTTTGGACTTAATCAACTAGTCAGAATTACTCTACTGGATCTGGTTATAGATCATAAGATTCATAAACTGTTTTCAGTCTTTTCTTTTTTCTTTTCGGTACTGGGGATTGAACTTGGGACCTTGCACTTAGGAGGCAGGCAGTGGAACCACTGAGCTAAATCACCAGCCCTCAGTTAGTCATTTTGAGACCAGATTGAAAGACTTGTGCACTGTGTAAAGACAGGTAACTTGAAAATCTGTGAGAGGGGAAAGAGGACAAAATGGAAGTGTAGTGGTCCCCGTCGGGTTCCAGGGCACAGCTGGCTGCTGTTCTGTTCTCAAGAGTGCTTTGAGTAACTGTGTTGTGGCGTGTGCCATTCCAGGTAGCAGTCAATGGAGCCAACCTGCAGAATGTCTTCATGCTTCTCACCTTGGAGCCTCTGCTGGCCAGAAGCCCCTTCCTGGTCCTTCACGTTCGTAGGAACAACCTCGTTGGAGATGCCCTAAGAGAGCTGAGCATTCATTCTGACATCGATTTGAAAAAGCCTCTCAAAGTGAGCTCCTTCAGTGCATACCTCTAAATGCCTTCAGAGGTTTTCATTAAACAATGAAAGCAGCAAAGATCTTATTAAAATTGTGGAGTACAGCCATTCATAATTTCTTTCAATTATTTTATAATTTACTCACTTTCTTCTATAAGATCACCAGAGCATCTCAGTGTAACATTAGATAAAAGATAAAAGTGCTAGGAATTATTTGATTGCTCTTAGGGCTTTCTGTGCCTTCCTCTGCTGTCTTTGGCATACATACCCTCTTTAGCACTACTACCAAAACAAGCAAACAACAAAAAGTAAAGCTTCAGCTGTGTACAACTCTTGAGCTATTGTCTAGGAAGATTTGGATGTCAGAGAATGAAGGGAAAGTGGGTAAAATAGGAGAATGGGAAGGTAAGAAATTGCCTACCAGGCTGTTGCTCTATTAGGATAGCAATTTAGAAACTTGAAATAATTAAATTTAGGGCCATGGATTTAGCTCAGCGGTTCAGTGGCCTGCCTTGCAAGCGCAAGGACTTGAGTTCAATCCCTGGTACCAAAAAAAAAAATTAAATTTAGAAAATCTCTCTTCCCATAGACCACACATTATTACTGCTTCCTGTATCCTAGGGCTTGGCAGCCTGTCTGGTACATGGTTGGGGTTCTAGAAATATTTAGAAAATAGTTTAAGTTATTTAAAGTCATACAACTTCTGTATCTTTGTTTCTAAGTCTGTTGTAAATACTGATTTCAGAAATATAATAGGTAAGAAATTGAATGATTACTGCCATAATATTGTTAACCCTTTCTAAAATTTTGGATAAGTAGCGTCATTCTCATCAGCCTATCTGGTTATCCTTTCTAAGACTTCTGAGGTATATTTTTAACATTGCTTTTCTTTTTGCCACTGTTTTTGGTCAGTAATTGAGACAGGGCTGTTCTTGCTTTGTAGTACAATTGAATTACGTCTTCTGCTGGTGTCTGTATAATTACAGTCCTAATATCTGTCCTGCTCTAGACAGGCTGGAATATAGTCATAAAGAAAAGCTTTCTCAGATGTTGTCTTTAGCTCTGGGCCTTAGCCATTATCTGTAAAATGGAGATAATAATAGTAATCTCTGTGCTTAGGCTGCTTTGAGGAGTAGGTTAATAGTTTTTTTTTTTTTTTTGGAGGGGTGAAACCAGGGTCTCACTATGTAGTTGAGACTGACCTGGAACTCACTGTGTAGCCCAGGCTGGTCTTGAACTCACAGTGATCCTCCTGCCTCAGCCTCCTGAGTGCTGGGATTACAGGCGTGCACCACCATGCCTGGCAGGTTAATAGTTTTTAAGTGTTCGCATAAGGTAAATTCAGTATCATTTATTGGCTTCCTATAGTCTTTACTCTTAAGGACCATTGTGGGTCCAGTGCTCCTGGTTAAGCCCCTCACAGAGCCCATGTCTCTGTCTGCTCAGAATGCCTTCCATGCTTCTGTGAGTCCAAGAACTCCACTGGAGGATTTCTTTCAGAAAGTGTTCCCATACTCAAGTAAATCATTTATATTCTGTGTGTCAAAGCATTTACCTCTCATGTATTTCATCCTTTGAAAGTAAAATGAATTCTCTACCCGCTTCTTTTATATATGTTTTACTTCTCTTAAACAGGTAGTAAATTCTCTGAGATACATGGTAACTTCTGATCTCCTTTGTGTCCCTTGGAATATCTAGTAAAAGTTGTGTGCATCTATAAGTTAAACATATATGCAATTAGCAAAATCAAAGAACAATCCTTGCAGTTTTCATTATCAGTATATATTCTCTGTTAGGTTTTCTGTCCCTTTTACTGGCTTTAGACAAGAATCTTCTAAAAGATAAAATTTAGCTATGTTCTGTGGCACACATCTCCCTCCTTCTTGGGAGCTGAGGTAGGAATGTAATCTGAGCAACTAAATGCAACCCTTCTCAAAATATAAAAATAAAAAGGGCTGAGGGTATACTTCAGTGATAGAATACTTGCTCAGCTGGTGTGAGGCCCTGGGTTCAATCCCTAGTGCAGCAACCCCCCACTTTATCCATAGATCTCCCTGAAATATTAATTCTTTTTTCATGATATGATTTTAAGGTAATCTTCGATGGGGAAGAAGCAGTGGATGCTGGTGGTGTTACAAAGGAATTCTTTCTTTTGCTGTTAAAAGAACTTTTGAATCCCATCTATGGAATGTTTACCTACTATCAGGATTCAAATCTCTTGTGGTTTTCAGATACAGTAAGTTAGTAATGTTACAATTAAACAAACGGATTGAATTAAACTTCCTTTTTGTTGTCATAATCAATCTCCTGATTTCTAGCTTTGCAAAGGAGAGAATAGCAGAGATCATTTTAAATGTCTTCTGTAACATAATGAAGAGTAGTCTTCCCTTTGTATCTGTTGTTGAAATCTCATAGTGTATTTTGTCAGCCTTCAGCCCCGTTGTCATTTCTAGTAAGTAAGATCCAGGTCTTAATATCTACAAAGGGTAAAAAGAACACAGTGTGATAAATTGATTTTATATAACAACAGTGATACTTTATGTATAAATATGCACACACAGGCATATTTGGATTTTCTTTTTAAAAATTCACTAAGAGGACTGTGTTCTAAAAGGCATTCTAAATTCATTTGGCCTACAATTTAGAGAATTTTTGTCTCCAGGTTTTCTCTAGATTAAAAAAAGGTAGTCACCAGCCATAGGTGGTTATTTAAATTTAAATTAAACAATAAAGATTCCTTTATTCAGTTGTTTTAGTTGCATTTCAGATGCTCAGTAGACAGATATAACTAGTGGCTACTGTAAGGGGCAGCACAGAATAGAATGTGTCCATCGTTGCAGGAAGTTCTCAGGACAGCCCTGCTGTTGATAGCTAGGCTGTTCCTAGTGTCACTGGAAGGCGCACAAATGCTTGCCTTGGTCCACGTTGGATCTTCTGGGGAAAAATGAATGATACTTTTGTCAGGGATGTTTCTCTGCCTCAAGAGGTAACTAAATATGAATGTGATCTTTACTGTTTTATTCTGAAAATATTTTGAGATAAATGGTACAGTGTTTCAAAGGCTGCAGCACTGCATTTCTTTAACACATTTGTATATATCCTAAAAAGTGTTTTGTAGAGCACAACTGGTTTCACTTGATTGGCATCACTTGTGGACTGGCAATCTACAACTCCACTGTGGTTGATCTCCACTTCCCACTGGCTCTCTACAAGAAGTTACTGAATGTAAAGCCTGGTTTGGAAGATTTAAAGGAGCTGTCACCCACTGAAGGAAGGTACAAAGCATAAAAGACACACAGATGGGTGTGGATGACTGTTCCGATGGCTTCTAGCACAGGGATTAAAGGTTGAAAGTACCATATGTACAAATTGGGTTTTTTTGAACCCTTGGAGACTCTGTTTTGTGTGCTTTGTCTTAAAACATAATTATGCAACCGATTGCTTGTAGCATTGCTGTGTCACCGTAAAGACAAAGGGCAAAGAAAGGAAAAGAGAGGTCTTAGTGCCCAGGAATACAGAACTATCTCTGCTTTCTGTATCCTCAACAAAATATTAAAGCTTTGAGGCCTGTCATAGTCCAGAGATAACGGGGGAGAGAGTATTGAAAAGAAACTTTTCAAAGTTCATTGATTGACAGGTACTTTCACGTACCTTGCAATTCACCTACGTTAAACACAATGCTGTGGCTTTAGTGTGTTCCTAGAGTTGTAGAATATTGTCATCACCCTCAGAAATAAAATTCCCTGGCCCTTTTTTGTCATTACCCCTAATCTCTTCATTCTCCAGTGCTACACAACCACTAATCTAGTTTCTGCTTCAGTGAACTTGCCGGTTCTGGATGTCTCATGTGAATGGAGTCATATAATATGTTGTCTTCTGTGTCTCTTGGCTTTCACTTAGCATGTTTTTCAGATTTACCCATGTTGTAGCATGTATTGGTATTTAATTTTTTAATTGCCAAACAATAGACCTTGGTACAGGTACACCATTTCGTTTGTCCATAAATATTTGTGTTTTTCCACTTCTGGGTTGGGGTACTGCTGTGAACACTTTGTATAAGTTTTTGTGTAGGCATAAGTGTTCAGTACTCTTTATACATGCCTAGGAGTGGAGTTGCTGATTTATATTATAATTGTATATTTAGCCTTTTGAGGTACCGCCAAGCTGTTCTCCAGAGTAGTAAAGTCATGTTTTTATGTGATACTCTTTCTAGCTCTTAAACCACCTTTATGCTTGAGTTTGTCAGATTGGTGAAGTACATAAGAAGGCAGCTTCTGCAGAAGGAAAATCCTCTTTTTCTAGAGAAAAGGCATAGCTGTAAGGTAGAGTAAGAGGAGAAATTATTCCTATAGAACCTTATAGCACTGAGACTATCACATCTCTGGTATAGGATACCAGTACTGAGAAACCATAAAGCATGAGCAAGGTACAAGCACCAAGACAGGAAGAGAAAATTCAGAAGGAATATTAAAGGAAGCAGAGGAGAAACAGGCAGTATTGATTTTTAGTTACTAGAAGAGAAGCCTAGACAGTGACCAAAGAATGTGTTATAGACTTTGCAGTTTAGCTGAGAATTGTATATTTTAAGTAATGATGTTGGCTGGTTAAATGGCATCAGATTTAAGTTCCACGCTAGGCATTCTCATCTTGGCAACTCTTGATGGAATTGTAAGACTGGAGCTAACTACAGAGGAATGTGTGAACAAGGTCTAGTGATAAGAATGTATTACCTTAAGAGCTTGGATAAGATACTGTTGACATAAACATTCTTCTAAGAGTACACTTCTTCAGCATCCTTTGATGTAACAGATAATGAAATGTCTTTGTCATACAGAGTCTTATGCATTGATAAAACCATTAAGTAGTACTTCAATCTTTGCATCATTTCCAGTACTGTAGATATAATTTATATAAAGACTTTGAGAGGGTCTTTTTCAGTATATATAAGTTTTGCAACTATAAGTCCATGAACGTGCATTATCACAACATTTACTTTGTGTGTGAGCATCATTCATGTTTGTAAAAACACTGGAACGGCCTCAGTAAGCAAAGAGATGCCCTTTTTGTTCGCTTTGATTTGTGAAAGACAATTTGTTTGAGTAACTACATAGGTGATGGTGACCTGTTGTGGATTTTTTTTTCTGCTTTTGTCTTTGTGATCTTAGAGCTTGAATCCAGGGCTTTGAGCGTGCTAAACAAGCAGTTGACCACTCAGCTACATCCTCATCCTTTTCTAAAGTTTTGTTTTGAGACAGGGTCTCATTAAGTTGTCCTGGCTGGCCTCATACTTGTGATCCTCCTGCTTCATTCTTCCATGTAGCTGGGATTATAGCTATGTGCCACCATCATAGTTTTTGATCCAGCTCCTTGAAAGACTTAGGTTGTCCATCACCATATTTCAGATGGCCACAGTTATAAAAGGGGTATTCATGGTTAGCAACCAAATTGGTATTTATATGTTTCACTCTTAACCTGTTTTTTAGTGATTATGGTTTTTCTGCTCTTGTTATACTTGTACAACTGTTTGCATGCCTGAGTGTTTATAATTGCAAAAGTATGTATATCATTTGCCTATTTTATTGTATAAAGTGGTCTATGAAGTATTCTGCTATGTTTTTATGCTTTTCAAATCCCTCCTTTTAACAATGTAAATAAATATCCTTTAAAGGATTTTTTTCTTTGCAGTGCTAGGGATTGAAACCAGAGCACTGTGCATCTTAGGCAAGTGCTTTTCTGCTGAACTACATACCCACCCTAAAATTTTAAAAATTATTTTCTCTAAAATTATAGCTTTCAGAATTTTAGATGTTAGGAATTAGACATAAGAGATTTTGATCTTTCAGGATTTCAACATTTGTGATTATGAGGTTCAGGATTGCATCTTTTGAGATTATGGCCCAGACCCACAAATAAGATTCATAAGCAGATGATGTAACTTTATGGCTTTTCTTTTCTCGGTACCAGTGATCAAACTTAGGACCTTGTGCTTGTCAGGCAGGTGTGGCACCACTGAGCTACATTCCCAGCCCTATGGCTTTTTTTCTTTTAAATGATGGAAGGATCAGTTTAGTAATATGGGTAAAACCTGTCTGTAGGGCCATTGCAGTACCACATTCTCTTATATATTTCTATGTAATTCTGTGCCAGAGTTAAGAGAGCACAGCTGTGTCAGATACTAAATTTGTGTCAGTTTTCCCCATGTATACATTAAGATTTGTCAGTAGGAAAAGGAAACAGTACTAGTTTACTGCCACAGTTCTCTTCAAGGAATAGGTTTGTGGTTTTCTGTCAGTCTGAATTCAGGTTCATTCTAGAATCTTATTTTTAGTTTTTCCTTGCAAATGATCTGGACCAATAATTAAGGTGGAAACACTACTGAAATGTTTGATTTGTTTCTCTTCCTTTTTATGTCATTTTGTGATTAGGAGTCTTCAAGAGCTTTTAGATTATCCCGGTGAAGATGTTGAGGAGACTTTCTGCCTCAACTTCACGGTAAAAATCTCCATACTGATTATTGTGGCTGTTGTATCATTCTTGCAAGTCTAAGTCAAGCATCAAAGGGATTTCTGTGAATGAAATTATTTTACTTGTAGTATCTTGAGTGTTATAGGAGTTCAGTAAATGTGTTGAATGAATGATTGTACAAGTATAAAATTACTTAAGCATTAATATTCTTTAGTCCTAACATGTACAAAGTATTTTTGTATTTCTTTTATAGAATTTGTCATTTTCTTTTTGATTGTGTTCATTGGTAACTCTGTAACTTAAAAGATGTCTTTTAGGGTGCTGATGTTTTCTGATTGTTGCTTTCCCTAAATTTTTTGTAATAATAGTCATTAAGTACATTTGTTCCTAAAATATGTCGTTTGAGTTCTAGAAAGGCAAGTATAAACAAAATTAAGACTTGTTTTTTTCTTCCTTAAAATGTAGATCTGCCGAGAAAGCTATGGCGTAATTGAACAGAAGAAGCTGGTACCCGGTGGAGATAAAGTGGCTGTGTGCAAAGATAACAGGTTAGTTGTGACTGTAGACCGCGGCAGATGTGGTTGTGTTTTCATCAGTTTTAACTTTTACTTTTTTGGTACTGGGAATTGAACTTGGGACCTGCACTTATGAGGCAGGCAGCAGCACCACTGAACTAAATCCCGGACCTATCAGTTTTAACTTTTAAGCCCAGGATTGAAATGACATTTTAATACCTCTGTTGAGGAGGTAAGGGTGATAGAGCAAGAATCCACAGATTCTAGAGCAAGCACCAGATCTGTTTAGCTCTACATCTTACTGGTTTTAACTCCAGGAGAGTCATATAAACTGGTCATCTGTAAAATAGAGACTGTAATAATTGTCCCGCTTATTTTATGGGATATTTGTTAGAATAAAGTGAGATGGTCTGTAGGAAACTATTTGAATGAATGAACTCCCAGCATGTAGCCCTGGGTTTCTAGTATCTAGGAGAGTACCTGGCACAAAAATGCTACAAAAAATGGGTGTTAAATGACTGTTGTCGGGTATGGTGTCACCTGCCTATAGTCCCGGTGCTTGGGAGGCTGAGGCAGGAGGATCACTGCAAGTTCGAGGTGAGCCTGTGCTACATAGTGAAATCAAGGCCAGCGTACAGTATGAGACCCTGTCTCAAAAAAATACACCCCCTTCCCTGCAAACTGTTAATGAACATATGAATATGTAGAAGGAAAAACCAACTCAGACTCAGATTTGGTTTCTTCTGCTCTACTTTCACAACCCCAGTTACTTTTGTGACCTTAAAAAGTGTTCTCCCTGCTGTTAAGTAAGCAACTGATTCTGCATCAGATACCTGGGAGGTATCCTCTCTAATTCAGTTTGGTTCAGACCTGCCTACCCAGAAATGAGGGTGCCTCGGGGGTCTCCTTTTGAGTCATCTTACAGGGACCTCCACATGTCTGGCACCTGAAAGCCCCCTGAAATCAATCCTTTTGGGTTTTTGTGGAGATAGATGCTGATAGGCAGCAGGGAAACCCAGCAAGGCTCATGTATTCAGATTCTTCTTGATCTTAGTGCAGCATTTCTTCCTCCCTGTAGGGATGGGATCCTTCTGAAATGAGGGCCTTGCTATCCGCTGTCAGATGGGGGAGGTCAGGGAGAAGCAGTGGAGATAGAGAGTTTTTCTGACTTTCCCTGAGAAGGGAGTTACAGCCAGAATCTATAGATAAAACCTCCAGACGTGTGTGTGTGTGTATGTGTGTGTGTGTGTGCCCGCATGTGCTTGGGAGAGAGAATTTCACAAGACTCTCACTTCTGTTATTTTACTGCTGAAGAATTTGAAATACAAGCTTTCAGTTAATTTGTTCTACCTGCATCCTAAAAATTCAGGCACATGTAACTTTTCATGTTGTGAGTTGTCCCTTCAGAGGAGAGAAGAGATTCAGTTTTGTTTACTTCATATTAGACTGGTAATCTGTGTGTACATTAATTTACAAACATCAAAGGGATGTTTCTAAGTGCCCACTGTGTGTCAGGCACGTTGCCAAGAATAAATAGGAGATGAGTAACTCCTGCCATTGAGAAGCACAAGATGAGCTGAGAAGAGTCAGTATGTATGAGTGACATAGGTTATGGTATGCATGATAGAAATTACAAGTAAAGTGCCCCGTGCTACAAGTGAAGTAGAAAGATCTTACTAGACATTGAAGAATGCAAGAGTTTGGGAAGCATTTCAGGCACAGGGAATAATGTGAGTCAGGACTCTGAAGGGTGACACGTGACACAGGCTGTTTAACATTTGTGGGGAGGGGACTAGTACGTGGGTGGACGGTGGTGTCAGAGTAGAAGTTATCAAGGGTTGGGAAGGACTTGGACTGAGATGTGGTTGACTCATAAAGATGACTTTGGTGGCCCTGTAGAAGTAGTAGTACACAGGGACTGGTTTGGAGGCTGGTGGAGTAGCTCAGGTAAAGAATAGTAAGGGCCAGAATGAAGGTGGTAGAATACGAAGTTGGTTATGTAGTCAGCAGGAGCAAGTGTCTGATTATATGAATGGTACAAGCAAGAAGAGTATTAATGATAATGCTGAGATTTCTGATTTGGACAGTTAAGTACTAGGAAACAGAGTAATAAAGTAAATTTGAGAGGGAAAAGTTCTGTTTGAAACATGTTGCTTTTGACATATATGTGATTCCCAGGATATTATATTTAGAGCAGAAAGTTTACGTGTGTCTCAAGAAAGGAGTCTTATAACAGTGTTGTTTAGTTACTCAGGGCAACTTCAAAACCACCAGTGAATTTGAGGTCACTTCGAAGAACCACAAAGAGGTGGGAAACAAAAGAAATTTAAAAAGACAAGGAAAATGTGCATCCTTAGAGGAGGTATATAATTAGAATAAGATGTAGACCCTTGAGATGAGACGAGCATCATTAACCGTAGGGTAGAGGTGAAGCTTCTTGGCTTAAAGAGCAGCTTCAGGGGAGAGATGAGCCGAAGTCCTTCTCCACTTTCTCTTCATTGGACCGTCCCTCCCCTTGTGGCCATCCCCTACTTCACCTTGATGCAGCCTTCTTCCCTGCACCAGATGCTACAGTGGGACCTCCACCAGCTACTTAGAATTTGAAGATATCATTAAGTGGAACAGAGCGATTTCCAGCAGTGCCATTTCCCAAGTGGTATCTGGAGCCAGTGTAGGGGATTACAGTCACGTGATGAAGACACCGCTTGTACTCAGTGTGGTTACCAGACAGTCCCGTGGCCACCAACAGTGAGTGTTGCCATGTCTTCGTCTCCTCTCTTAAGGACTGTCTTCATGGCATAAGGCCAAGTCCTACAGGGTGGGTGCCATCTGGGCTGCTCCTCTGGGAAACGATACAGGTCCGAGGAGAGGTCACCCTAGAAGTCCCAGCAGAGTAGTTGGAGATACCGGATATGTTTCTTGGCAAAGACTGGCATGATGATTATTTCTAAGAAAGGAATGGAGAGCCTGAGAAACACCAGGAGAGAGAATGGGAACAGCACCACTGAGAAAGAAGTCAGGTTGGAAGCAGATGTTGTATTGATGGACTTGTATCTCCCCCTTAATCAGAGCTAACGGGCAGAGGCTGCTCTGCCACTTCCTTTCCTCCAAACCCCGACTCCCTCCTGACAGCCATGGAATGGCCTCTGCCCTACAAGTTTGAGGATGGCTTGCCATCCCTCCCAACCCTATGCCTTCTGTTTGCCAGGGCAAAGAAATTATGCCTTTATGTGGTCGGAGGGTGTCAGACAGGAAGAAAGCTACATGTCCAGGCTCTGGTTTTCATATATAATGGTGCTTTATCCAAGAAACCATATGTACTCCAGAATCTCCAGGAGCAGTGCAGTGGTAAGATTAGTGGGAAACTTTTTTCCCAAAGAAAATGGATCCTCCTTGCAGGACGTAATGAATGACTGGGTGTGCCAAAATATGCGCAGGGTCTGTCCCTAGCACTAGATCTGATGAAGCCAAGAGTCCAAACAACTCCTTTACCTTCTTCCCACACCTTTGAGAGGAAACCATGAGAACACAAATTACCTTGGGAAGAGCTGCTTCTGTTCTTGGGGTTCTCCCTCTCACATATTGCTGGTTTATGTCCCCGTCTTCCTTGAGGAACTCTTTCGACACCCTGGTGTCCAGCCTCCTCGGTGAACCTACCCTCCTAAGCAGAGAGGCCTGTGTGGATGCGTTAGGCTGGCAGAGCCTTCCACATTGCTGCTTTGTGACTGGTTGCCTCTTGCAATAACCAGCTCTTGTAGCTGTTCCTTTTCACTGGGGCTTTTCTGTTTAATACACGGTGCCCTTCCCTGAAGAAGGCTGCTTCCTTGTTTTAAAGGCAGTTACTGCCATTGGAAGATGGGAATATTGGCACCTCAGCGATGAAGAACCCTAACGAAGTACCAGGAGGAGATGGGAAGGAGGCCAGTTGTGTTGGCAGTTTATAAAGGTTTCAGGACACACTCCAGTGCCCCCGAGGCGGGGCAGGATGGTGGATGGGAATAGCTGTGCAGATCCAGGAAGCAGAGAGCAAATGGAGGAGGCAGGGCAGGAGATACCCTTCCAGGACACACCCCCAGTGACCCGCTTCTTGCACCAGCCCCACCTCCTGGCAGGAGTCTGCAGTAATGCACCATAATCCAGTTGCCCACCGAAGTTCCACCTGTGATCGCACGAGGCTCTTGAGGAACATGTGATGTCAAAACCATCATAATGCGTTACGTACAATATATTACGTGCATGATTTCATGATGCTGGTGCAAACAAGCCTCCTGTGCCGCTGTAGGTTGATCAGTGTGGCACACATAATTACAGAGCATAATACTTGATAAATCAATATGCTACCAGTTTATAGACTTAGTACACTTTTATTATTATTTTAAAGTGAATCACTACCTTCAAATTTTTTTCTTGTAAAATGATATGCTAGCATTTCGGGTTTGTTGTCTCTTCATTGCATCAGTAGGCCACGTCATATGATTTACACATTTAGACTTGGGTGAGAGCGCACTACGATGTTCACAGCAGGATGAAGCCTCAGTGGACTGTGTAGAACATAACCTGTCATTAAGCAATGCACGGCCATAGGCCTTAAATCTTTCAGAGGTCTGACTTTTGCATCATGTTTCAGAAGAGATCCTGTATCATTTGTTAGAAGCTAATTGTGGGGTAGGCAAGCACACCAAGGAAGTGGAATGATCAGGATGACTCACTGTGGTGTGAGTCATCCCAGTGCTGTGGGTTTGGTGCATTCCATAGAGAAGAATGAGTCACAGGCAAAGGCAGTTTGTGACATAGTGTGTAGCAGATGTAGTCACTGGGACTTTTAATTCCTTTTTATATCTTTATTATTTCTCTTAGCTCATTTTCATGTCTGTCATTGTTGCTCTGTCTCTTTTTCTGAGTTTCCTCTTTGTCTTTCTATGTCTTCTTATGTTACTTTCTTCTTATTCAATAGTTGTTTCTCTGAATCAGCAGTTAAGTTGACTCAATCTTTGAAAGGCAAGTGTGCAGGAATTCTGAAATACACAGTTCAG